AAAATACTCAACAAAATATTAGCAAACTTAATTCAAAAATACGTCAAGAGGATCATACACCATGACCAAGTGGGATTCATCCCAGGGATGCAAGTATGGTACAACATTGAAAAACCCATCAACATCATCCACCACATCAACAAAAAGAAAGACTAAAACCACATAATCATCTCCATAGATGCTGAAAAAGCATTCAACAAAATTCAACATACGTTCATGACAAAAACTCTCAACAAAATGGGCATAGAGGGCAAGTACCTCAGCATAATAAAGGCCATATATGATAAACCCACAGCTAACATCATACTGAACAGCGAGAGGCTGAAAGCTTTTCCTCTGAGATCGGGAATAAGACAGGGATGCCCACTCTCCCCACTGTTATTCAATGTAGTACTGGTGGTCCTAGCCACGGCAATTAGACAAAACAAAGAAATACAAGGAATCCAGAGTGGTAAAGAAGTCAAACTGTCACTATTTGCAGATGACATATTGTACATAAAAAACCCTAAAAACTCCACTGCAAAACTGCTAGAACTAATATGGGAATTCATCAAAGTTGCAGGATACAAAATTAACACACAGAAATCTGTGGCTTTCCTATGAAAGCTACTAACAATGAACTAATAGAAAGAGAAATCAGTAAAAGAATTCCATTCACAATAGCATCAAAAAGAATAAAATACCTAGGAATAAACCTAACCAAGGAAGTGAAAGACCTGTACCCTGAAAACTACAAGACACTCTTAAGAGAAATTAAAGAGGTCACTAACAAATGGAAACTCATCCCATGGTCCTGGCTGGGAAGAATTAATATAGTCAAAATGGCCATCCTGCCCAAAGCAATACACAGCTTTGATGCAATCCCTATCAAATTACCAACAGCATTCTTCAATGAACTGAAACAAATAGTTCAAAAATTCATATGGAACCGCCAAAGACCCCGAATAGCCAAAGCAATCCTGAGAAGGAAGAATAAAGTGAGGGGGGGATCTCACTCCCCAACTTCAAGCTCTACTACAAAGCCACAGTAATCAAGACAATTTGGTAGTGGCACAAGAACAGAGCCACAGACGAGTGGAACAGAATAGAGACTCCAGACATTAACGCAAACATATGGCCAATCAATATACGATAAAGGAGCCATGGACATACAATGGGGAAATGACAGTCTCTTCAACAGATGGTGCTGGCAAAACTAAACAGCTACATGTAAGAGAATGAAACTGCATCACTGTCTAAACCCATACACAAAAGTAAATTCGAAATGGATCAAAGACCTGAATGTAAGTAATGAAACCATAAAACTCTTAGAAAAAAACAGGCAAAAATCTCATGGACATAAACATGAGTGACTTCTTTATGAACATATCTCCCCGGGCAAGGGAAACAAAAGCTAAAATGAACAAATGGGACTATATCAAGCTAAAAAGCTTCTGTACAGCAAAGGACACCATCAATAGAACAAAAAGGTATCCTACAGTATAGGAGAATATATTCATAAATGACATCTCATAAAGGATTGACATCCAAAATATATAAAGAGCTCACACACCTCAACAAACAAAAAGCAAATAATCCAATTGAAAAATGGGCAGAGGAGCTGAATAGACAGTTCTCTAAAGAAGCAATCCAGATGGCCAACAGGCACATGAAAAGATGCTCCACATCGCTAATCATTAGAGAAATGCATATTTAAACCACAATGAGATATCACCTCACACCAGTAAGGATCACCATCATCGAAAGACAAACAACAACAAATGTTGGCAAGGTTGTGGAGAAAAGGGGAACCCTCTTACTCTGCTGGTGGGAATGTAAATTAGTTTAACCATTGTGGAAAGCAGTATGGAGGTTCCTCAGAATGCTCAAAATAGAAATACCATTTGACCCAGGAATTCCACTTCTAGGAATTTACCCTAAGAATGCAGAACTCCAGTTTGAAAAAGACAGATGCACCCCTGTGTTTATCGCTGCACTATTTACAATAGCCAAGATATGGAAGCAACCTAAATGTCCATCAGTAGATGAATGGATAAAGAAGAGGTGGTACATATACACAATGGAATATTACTCAGCCTAAGAAGAAAACGAATCCTACCATTTGCAACAACATGTATGGAGCTAGAGGGCATTATGCTCAGTGAAATAAGCCAGGCGGAGAAAGAAAAATACCAAATGATTTCACTCATATGTGGAGTATAAGAACAAAGGAGAACTGAAGGAACAAAACAGCAGCAGAATCACAGAACCCAAGAAGGGACTAACAGTTACCAAAGGGAAAGGGACTGGGGAGAATGGGAGGGAAGAGAAGGATAAGGGCGGGGAAGAAGAAAGGGGGCATTATGATTAGCATGTATAATGTGGGGGGTGAGGGAAAGGGGAGGGCTGTGCAACACACAGAAGACAAGTAGTGATTCTGCATCTTACTACGCTGATGGACAGTGACTGTATGGGGCTTGCGGGGGGGGACTTGGTGAAGGGGAGAGCCTAGTAAACATAATGTTCTTCATGTAATTGTAGGTTAATGATAACAAAATTAAAAAAATTAAAAAAAAATTTGAAAAGTTTCATGTTTATATCTTTATGGACAATTCTCATCAATATGAAATATCTTTCATCTTTTTTTAATGCTCTGTTTTATTCTGTTGTTTTCTAAGCATATTGTTTGTCTCTTTTAAACAACATACAGTTGAATTTCATAATCTTTTAAAGCCAATCCAAGAATCTTTTAGTAGATGAATTTAATTCAGCCACATTTATTATGCTTACTGAAATGATTGAGCTTCCTACCATCTTATTTTATGATTATTTACCTTAGTTCTAGTTATTTCATTCCCTTGCCCCCTTTTTCTTCCATTTGGTAGATTAATAGAGTTTTCTTGGATCCATTTTCTTCCACTAATGTTTAATAAGTTTCTGTTATATTTCTACTTTTCCAGCAGTTATACTTAAAATTTTAACATATCAACTCTTACAGAATAAAAAAGAACAATAAATAAATACCTTTTTGATTATTTGTAGAAATTTGCTGTGGAATGGGGAAGCTGTTTGTACTCAGCCTGCTCTTTGAATCAGAAATTTTGCAGTCATTTTTGTAGACGTCCACCAGTAATTCTTCTATGAAATAAATATTCTTTTATAACAATTTGTTGTTCTTTTATGCTCCTATGTTTTTGAAAAATTAGAACTTCCACCAACTAAAGAGCTATTTTTATAGAATATTCTCTTAGTGTTTGATCCAAACTAATGTGTAAACTGGCTTCTGAAATTAATTTATTCCCTGATTTACATCCATTGTTCAAATTTGTTTTGCTTCATTTTTAGCTGGCAGCCGGTCAAGTTCCCCAGGGAAATTGTTGGGAAGTGGTTACAGTGGCCTGACTGGGGGTTCTTCAAGAGGCCCACCTGTGACACCCTCTTCCGAAAAGCGAAGCAAGATTCCCAGGAGTCAGGGATGTAGCCGAGAAACAAGTCCAAACCGTATAGGATTAGGTAAGGATTCTCAAAGATTGTGAAATACCATTCCTAACTTGATAATAATTTTAATTATCATGTAATGACTTTGTTTAATGTAGGAAATAGAGATCCATTTTTGAACTGAGGGTGTCACCTTGCCTGTTTTAAAAAAAAAAAAGACATTTCAATTTGTGCTTTTTATAGATTATGGCATGTTCAGGTTTCAGTTATAACTAGAAAATATGTGGGGTTTACCATTCAAATTGATGGAAAAGGATTGTATCATTGTGGACCTTGTGTTTCAGAGTCATTTTGTGAAACGTTAGAATTGGGGGTATGGACATGATTTTTTGTCTTCACTATAAGAAGCAATGTCTTTAAAAGAAAAGCAGTGTTGCTTTCATTTTTCTTTTACTGATAAGCTAAGCACTGTGTAGCCGTTACCCTATAAAAATTTTCAAAATCAATTTGTTGGGTACACTTCGATTTTGATCTTCTCTAACCTTATGGTTAAAGAATATATGTAGTTACTTTTGAAATAATATTGTTCAAACATGAAACTAGAAATAGATTAAAACCAAATATGTAATATTTTTGTGTTGTAATATTTAGTTTGTTCATAATAGTGTGTAGATTTATATGATTTACTCTCAGCAGATTGAAGACCTTGTACTCTATTGAAGTCTGATTTGTATGCTACCTTTTAATATTAGTTAGAAGTCTTTTGTAATATATTATGAAAAAATCTATGTTCATCTTCCAATATTTGTACGTACTTTGTAGGGGAAAAAAAAATCTGCAAATGTGAAGTCCTAGAATAGGTCTTGTTTTGATTAAGTACGAGGTGAATTCAATTGGCAGGTGGGGAGATAAGAAAGGTGTTCTAGGGCACAGAGAAACATGTACAGAAGCAGTCTGACTGGAGAGAGCATAATGCGCTCTGGGAACCACATGCAATAAATTTGGCTACAGCAAAGGCAGTTTGTCAGGGTGGGAGACAAGGGCAGATGGTCTGGAAGGCTCCACCTCAGAAAGGTCCTTGAAGGCCACCAGAATTAGAAGAAAGCAGGGGCAGATACTTAAGTAGAATGGGTAGGATATGGTTGACTACCATTTCCAAAGCAAATGAGAGATGTCATCAAGCAGTGGTGATTGTTAATTCTACATAAGGGCAACTTTCCGTTGGCATTGCTAGCATGGTCCCCTGGCTGACAAGTTAGTTGGAATAGTACTAACAAGTAATGTAGATATGGTCAGAGAAAATACCATGAACTGAAATATTTAAATTTCACATTTGATGCTGTAACATATGTATGTTTGGATCTGGTTTTGCTTGGAAAATGCATGTGATTTCAAACCCTGGTGTGAGATTTCAGCTGCCCTTTTTCCATAGGTAATTGTTTAAGTTTATAGGATGTTACTTGGCAAGCCAGATGAGTGTCATACTTTTAAAAATTCATTTCTTCTTTGGGATTTTACTTTTTAAATTTGCATTTTTACCTTCTTGAAATGGGGAAATAAACTAACTTTAGTAATCTAATATGACTCTAGGCCCTGGTATTCCATGGTCTTAACTACGAAGTTTGTGTTATGAATAGTTGAAAGACAACATTTAAGTAAGCTTTTAAAAGAAGGACTATGAACCATAATGTTGGTAAGAACTAAATAGGAGCCAGTTCCCTTGCAAAAAGTTCTTTTGAAACATCATTTTGAGGAAAGTTATTTCCTTGATCCTCATTTAGAGGAATAAAGCTTTGAGGTCATATATACAGTTCTGATTAAAGAAGATATTTAAATTTCTACCCACGGTGGGAATACACACATATACAGAGAGATAAAGATAAATGCATGAATAAAAAGTACCTTTATACTTCTTGTAGTACAGAAAGTCCATTTTATAGTAATAGATTTTATATTTCTGTGACCGTTTTGTTTATGCTGGGTATAATGCTGTGTACTTAGCATTTGGCTTATTGCGTAGCAACTTGAAATATAAATATTCTAAAAAGAGGAGAGTATCTTTCAAGAATATTTTCTATAATCTCTAAGCAATCATAGCTACCTTAGACTTGGAATTTGTATTAAGAGTTAATTCTAGTTATCTATGAATTGTTGCAAAATACCTTTTTTTGCTTGAAATAATTTCTTAACTAAATTTTCCTTTCTCACCTGTGATAAAAATGATGCCAAAGCTTTTCTTCTTTTGCATTTAAGGTTTCTTAAGCAAAACAGGATGCAATTCCTGTTGGATAACCAGGGAACAAAGTAAAACCCTGCCGTTCTCTTTTTTCTTGGCAATTTATTCCTTCCTAAACTGTTCAGTCAACTAGAATAATATATTCATAAGTCGTTTCATTTTTGTTTCATCCTACTTCTGACAAGTAAGAAGTCACATAGGTAGCTGACACCTACAGCAGTTATGTTTGGGGGTTTGCCTTTGGTCTTCTTCCTCCATTCATCTGTTGAAAATCTATAAAAATATTTGGCTTCTTGAAGCTTACATTCTATGGATATGCATTCAAAATGTTTCAAGTTAAAATTTTTTGAAAGAATTAAAAATTAATAATAACCAATTCAGCTGTTGAATTAGACTACTATATGTAAGACAAAACCATGAAAATATAAAATTAGACATTTCATATCTCTAACTTTTGGTAGTATTCATTAATTCCTTTTTTTTTCTGCTTTTGGTATGAGTTTTGATAGGAGCCATCCATAAAAGTCAAAAGTCAGAATTACCTTTAAAATATTAGAGCATAGTGTTTCTCAAGAATCAAAAACCAATGAGCTGATTTTTCAAGGATTTCTAGCATTTCATATGTAAGCATGACCCCGAAACTAAGAATAGTGCCTTTTGAAAGTTCAAAGGGCAAGTATGTTTTTACCATCTCTTCCTCCTCTGCTATACCTTTTCCTCCATAACATTCTCACATACAGCGTTCAGTTTTGTTACTGAGTTGATTTGGTATATTGACCACTTCATTGACTAGTCTTTGTAAAAACCATTTGTTTGTATACTTATTTTAAATCTTTGTATTGGTCTTTCAAAGTAGTGTTTAAAGTAAGTGGGTGTTTTTCCTCTTGATTTTAAGTTAGTCAACATTTGGTCTGTTGTTATCACCAGTAGGTATACTTTAATGAGGTTTGGAGCAACTATAAGCATATTTTTACAAAATTATAAACAGAATTCTTTTTCTACATGTCACCATTAGTCTATGTTCAAGAAACCAGTGATCAAATAAAAGTTGAGTTTACTTCATGTTAGAATGTCTTCCCTCTTGTGATAGTTACTGAATAAAGTCTGTCTTTAATACTTAAAAAAAAGTCAGTGATCACAGATGGGTGAATGAACTTTCAGTAAAATACTAGGAGGGTAAACCTTATTAAGGACTATGCATATTGTTATTTCGGAGCATATCTACTTATCTCTTTCTCTGCTCTTCATTGTCTTTACAAAGTGTGTTCAGCCTGGGGAGACGGCAAAAACTTCCCATTGCTATAGCATGCATATTTAACTGACCACTGGATGAAAATTCAGAAGTAATCAGTCAAGACTATAAGAAAATGCTCAACTACATGTGCACATTATGTGAAAAACTACTAAGACTGTTTTTATTACTTTTTGATTATTTGTTTTGGAGTGGGCAGTGGAATTAGACAAGATTTTCATGTATGCCTTTCAGCAGGGAATTGAAGTACTTTTGTATGTACCCTTCTCATTTAAATGGTGGGACCATTTCTTCTAACCTTACTGAGGGAGGCTGAGAACCAGAGCTTAAGTGGCTGGACCAGTGGGTTAGCATGGATTGGAAGAAGTCATTCCAATAATTAGATGTGGTATTGCTCCTCCAGGATAAGCAGTATTGCTTTGTTGGTTCTAGGCAACTTCTCGTATATTCGTTGGGTCAATAGATGCTCTGGTTTTTTAAGAATTTAATTTACACCTCCTGCTTTTGCCTTTATTTATGAGCTCTTCAGAGAGTGATCTTCTCTCTGCTTCTTTGAGTGAAAACTCAGTACCCATGTCACTATGACAAAAAAAAGGCGAATTTAGGAACTACTGAAGAAAGCCAAATGAAGCCCTGTTTTGACTATTGCTCAGGCCACATCTCTCTATGTGTGGCCTTCCTTTGCTTGCTAGTGCAGACCTAAGCATTTGGACGATACTTAACATACCTTTAGGGTCTAATTCGACCCTAGCCCTGAGCAGAAACCACAATAAGAAGGTGGTTTGGATTTTCACTTCTATATTCTTCTTTTTCAGGGGTCTTCATTGTTCTGGTTGGTAATACATTCTTGTTATAGTTCGGCCATACAGTAAATCTACCTTTCCTCAGAAATAATACGCTCTGCTCATTACAATGTAGTAAACATGGCTGTTTTTACACCAGTGAATCAGGTTTATTTTTTCCAAAATTTTTGAGAAACACATTTCTTTCCAGTGCAGAATTATTAGTAGATCCTCTCAAGATGGAAACATTTGTTATCATATCAGCTTTTATGTAGGTGGTTGCAGGCATTCAATATACAACAGTTGTTTCTGAGTATTTTGTTAATACTGTATTTCAAGTTAAATTGAAAAACAAGGGTATCACAGTCTTTTCTAAGCCTTACAGCCAAGTTATTTTAGATTTTAGGCTATTCGTATGACTGTGTCTTCTTGGTGTTTTACAACGGGAATATAATGAATTACCCAGAGATAATCATCAAGCTGTTCTTACATCAGTGGAGGGATCTTTTAACATAAGTACCAGGATTATTAGTCCATATACTTGTGTCAGGCTGGGGAAGTGAAGGGGCTTGAGTAGGGACCACAGGTAAATCTTTTTGGATTTTCATGGGAAGAGAGGAGATTAAAAGTTAGGACCAGTAAATACAGGGATAGCAGTTGCTACTCTTCATATCTGTTGGTTTAGATTATTAATGTGTTTGAAGCATCTGCACAGTTACCACAGTGGGCAGCTTCTCTACCTGTGTCAGTCCTTATGACTTCTCTTTGTAAAGAAGGCCAGGCTAGGAGAAGTGCACCCTCCTCCTTTCCATTAGGTAAGTTCATGGATTCCATTTTTAAATCCAAATTAAGTTGTCTAAGGACTCAGTGTGGATGAAAATGGCATTGGTCTTTTATCCTCTTGTTGAGAAATTTGCTAAAGCCATAAAGCTGATCAGTTCCACTAGGCTTCTGATGTTGTATTTTCTAATGCTCTTTAGAAAACTTTCGTTCATTTCTCACATTTAGGTGTTATTTCACCTACACACCAAAGTTCACAACTTTCTGAGGCATGAGCATAAACGAGTCCTACTCTCCTACTGTTGGCTTGTCAGTCAGGTAGATGGCAGCCTGGACAGGTCCTCAGCCACCAGAACTCCCAGCGTGAACAATGTCATGATTACATTAACAGAATGTGACTGACGTTTGTGAGTTTTTCTGCCTTCATTAAACTTGTTCACCTTCTCTGAAACCCCTCATGCTGCACACTAGCACGGAACAGCCGTATCCCTCGACCCAGCATGAGTCAGGGGTGCAGCCGCAACACCAGCCGTGAGAGCAGCCGTGATACAAGCCCTGCTCGGGGCTTCCCTCCACTTGGTGAGTACACGTAGGCGCTGACTCTTGGAGCACACATGTCCTTTCCCTGCTCCAAGTGCTTGTCCGACACATTGCTAGGTGGAATGACCTACTTTCCCTCCTCTACTGTCCTGTGACCCTTCTTTCTTTCCTCTCCCTTTGTCATCCCCCTCTGCATGCTTGAACTTTGGCAATTTCCAGTTTTCTATATAAGAGGAAAAAAGCACCACTTCACTCTGTACTATTGTCATTTATGACCACTTGCTACCTACCAGATAAGCCCATCTGTGGTAGTTTCCACCATCAGGTTAAACTCAGATAAAGTTAATTACTTGAAAGTAGAGTTAATCCAAAATTTATTCTCTGCCATTGAATTTCTGCAATTTCTACAATTTGATTTTAGTTTTATCAGAGGTCAGGTCATACGTGATTTAATTAAGAGAAAGAAAACAAGTAAAATGATAATGTATATGAAACAAAATGTGCTCAGTTTAGGGGTGTTGACCTTAATCTAAAAAGTAGCATGAATGAAGATATTACCATGTTTTGTTAAATAAGTCATTTCAAAGCTTTCTTTAAAGCAGTCTAAAAATAGTGATAAACTGCTTCGGTATACAGCACAGTGCAAAACTTTATGCTGTCTTGTTTTTCACATATTTTCATTCTTCCTGAGCTCAATAAGCCATTTAATGTCTATGACCTAATGCCATTCCAGGACAGAAAAATTACAGCATTTGGTCACCATGAGGTGTAGTAAATACTATATCTCATGTCACCAGCCAGGTGACAACTGGGGCTATACACCCCACACTCCCCCTCAGCTTTTCTTACAGCCAAAATTTGTATTTTAACAGTTTTGGGGATTCAGGAAAAATATATCCTTTATAGAATACTTACCTATCCTTTTTGGTTTAAATACTCTAAAATGGACATTATAGCTTTTTACCTAGGGCAAATCATTAACCCCCAAACATGTACTTTCACAAAAAAGAAACATCTTGTGTTCAGTAACTGTGCTTTTGTTCTTTGGCATATTAAGTTCTATACAGCTGTATATTTGCCTCTTGATAAGCTTAGCAGGTAGAAATCATTCTGTATGACTAGGCCTAGGTGTAGGTCTGAGGTTATCTTCCAGGAGCATGGTCTACAGCAGTCTATTATTTTGACTCTTAAATGTGTAACTGGTACCTTCAAATACAAAAGTATCACTGCACAAGATAGATGTTAGATCAAAAGCATAAGCTCTTAATTTTGCCTCTTTTTCCTCCTAATACCAATGTACTTCTTGCCCACATCTTTCTCTCTCAGTCATTATCAATAATCAAAACCTAGATCTATTTTTTTATGACTCATTGTCCTTCATGAAGTTCTGAGGAATAGTAGGTAAACAGCTGCCAAAGCCCTGCTGAATGAGCTACTTGACTGATGAGCACGGAAACCTCTCTGGTACCTGTCAGCTGGTCCACAGCAATCTAAATCATTTGACCAGAATTCTCAGTAAATCAAGGGCAGTAATAATGATTGTTTTCTGAATGAACTGGTGATTTTTTCTTTGAAGTAAGGCTTTGTATCAATGCATCCTTGCTCACTATTTGACTTACCAAATGACCTATTCCATAAGTGAACGATTTAATCTGTTGATTGGTTATTTTGTCTCTTAGAGGCAATTTGGTGTTTTTATTTCATTTTATTTTATATACCAGTAGTTCTGTTGTCATCCATGGAAGCAGCCTTTGTAATACAGCATGTGGTCTGTGGAGCTGGCAAAGTGTGCTGAATCTTGAGGTCCTAATTGAAGCCTGAATAGTTGAGTGATCTGGTCTGTTTTTTGCTTCCTTCGGTGAAATGGACCTACTTATGTGCCTTGGTGGCAACTCAGAATGTTGAAATGTTAGTTGCTACCACAAAGGCAGATGTGGATACAGATATTTTCCTTCCTAACAAACTTCAACAGCACATCTTCTGCTGTAGTCAGGGCAATAGTTAACATCTGCATTTTTATACCATGCCCTTTTATCCCTCCTTGGGTTAAGTCTGTCTGGAAAGCTGTTATCCAGTGAGAACAGCAGCAGTGTTCACATGTACACCACACCATTCTGAGCAGCCAGTAGGCGTAACCCCTTGTGGCTCTGTTAGCCCTCTGGGACAGGACTCTCAGTATCTCTCTTTTATGGATGAGGAGACTTAGGGAGAATATATAAGCTACTTCTTCAAGGTCACATAGCCAAGTGCTGGAGTCAGGTTTTGAATCCAGGTCTGACTTCAAAGCTTGGCTGTTCTGAGGATTTAGTGTCTTTCTTTTGTTCCTCCAAAATGTTTTTAAATGCTTTCTGTGAGGCCTCTTCAGGTTAGGTACAGCGAAAGTGCTGGGCAATGTTTCTGAGTCATGATTACCAGGCCTGGGGTTAGGACCTAAGAATTCATAGGTAAGTCCCAGAATGTGTTGTTCTTGGGAGAACTTAATATGCCCTTCAGAGAATGTTAAGTGTCCTTCTTTTGCTTATTCACTTTAATAATCATTTCCTACCCCTTTTATAAATGAGTAAGGTTTTGTGTTAGTGCCCCTTTGAATGAACTTAAAATACCAACATACCAACCTTCACTTTTTAAAAAGGAATGAAAGTAATTATGTTTAAGTGAATACATACTGGTTTTAAGTTTGCATTTCTATTACAAAATAGTTCAGACCATTTTAATGGTATGAATAAATATTTATATAGTTACACTGACAACTTTTAAGTGAAATTAAGGGCACTTGGACTCAGATACAAATCAGGCTTTGACAAATCTGGCATTGATGTAAGTGAGTCTACCTTGGATCCCATTGTTGGATGTTCACTTGAGAACTTGACAGAGGATTCTTCCCTGACAGATTCACTGTAGGATATTCTGCTGAAACCAAACCAAAGGGTGACTTTATAAGGAGCCTTCAAAGCAGGTACTGCTTAAAAGCTATTTTCAGTTTAAACTACCAGGATATGATACTGATATGCTTGTTCAATCAATGAATAGTTTGCTTCAGTCTTACAAAATACTTTTGCCAACTTCCTTAAGAAAAGTGGTTATTTTATAATACCTATTTTAGAGATTGCCGGTTTATGTTTGTGCATCTTCGGTAATTTTCTTTACCTTTTACAAGCTGATAAAATTTGTCCGTATTGACCAGGTAACCTTTGCTCTTTAATGCTACATACCACAGAGATGGGTGTTTCATGAAGTGACATAACCTTAAATAAATCAATTTATATTGAAGAGTTTGAGGTTTTGATATTTTATGACTGAATGGATAGGGTTTAACGTGTGCAAGATACTGTCCTTAAGCTGTGTGGGTGAAAAGCAATACTGTTAAGTATTATTTAAACCTTTGTATTTTCTATGGTCCAGTCACTGTGTTCTTTTCAGAGTAATGAATAGAAGCATATTTTCTTTTTTTTTTTCCCTGTGGTTAAGAAAAGCCATATATTGCATGGACCTCTGTCAATAAATACATGTCTTGAACCAAGTCTGTATTTCATAATTATTTCTAAAAGTTATTCCCTCCACATGAGGATGGAGTTTGTAATATATTTCCTCAAATTAAAGAATCAATATGCTTTTTCTGCATACTTGCTCAGAGAATAATATTTAATGTCTAGATGTAAATTGGAGTTCATTCTTAACCATTACTGCAGCACCTCACTACTACTGTTTACCACTACCATTTATTCTGTGCCTGGAAGTGTTTTAAGTGCTTTATGTATGATCCCTTTTAATCCTCTTAATTTTCAAGAGGTAGTTACCATCTCAAGAGGTAGGTACCATCTTTAGCACCATTTTACAGATGAGCAAACTAAAATAGGTTTTGTTCTTTGCCCAAGATCCTACAGCTAGTTTCACTCAACCCAGAATTTGACCCCAGTTTATTACAGAGCTGGTGCTCATAACCAGAGTACTACTGCAAAGGTCTCTCCAAGAAGGTCAATTAAATTTATTACAATGAAATTTCCAACAGAACAGTTGAGTCCATTAATAATCAGATATTTCAGCAAGAAGAATTTTGACTGGGGAAAATGGCATTCCAGCTGTTGAGCCCCTTCTTGTGATTTCATTCTGTTTCTGTTCAAATAACATCACGGACTTCCCTGCTTTTGTTTTGGGTGCGTGGTTGCATATGCATCACATCCTGATGAGACATCTCGTGAGCTGAGTTAATAATCCATCCTTTTGCTGTTCTACTCTGGGATTTAATGATGCTCTGACTTCTGATGCTCTTCCTGTTGCATATTTCCATAACGGCTGATTGAGGCTTCATGGTGTGAATATAAACCTGGTGCCTGAGCTAGTGGTGCTTCAGGAACCCCCGAAGGTGTGCCTTTGTCATTCCTGTGCCTTCAATAGCTGTGAGAGAGCCGGCAGGCCACCGTGCAGTCTGGGGATCAGGACTTGCTGTCCATTCGGATCCAGCACCATTTCTTCTCGTGAGAAAGCATGGCCTTGTTGGGAGCACTCCCTGCGTTTCCTTTGGACTCTGGCATTTCCCATCTTGGTACCCTGTGTTAATCCTGTGGGTGTTGCCATTCCTTTTACCTGCAGCGTCTCGACGTCATTCCCGGTCCACTAGTGCTCTCTCCACTGCTGAATCTGTTGGGCAGTCAGGTGAACAAGTGCTAACTGCATGACTCGGCTTCTTCATAGGTTCTCTTTCATGCTCATTTTAACATTCATTTTCATCAGTGTCAGCTAGCACTTGGCATGAATGCACCTCATATTTTTTTTCCCCAATGTGCTTTTATTTTTTAAGTTGTTGAATGTGTACAGTTTTATTAATAGGCTGTGGATGCCTTACAGCCATTTGACAACACCATTTCTCCAATATTCATTTTTATGTTAAAACAGAACAAGAAAATGGGGGTGCCCCTCTTCCCCTCCTTTAATTCTCTCCCCAAGGAAAACAACCACCCCAGATAGATATAACAGAGGGTCTCTATGGAGCCTTGGGGGATGGCTGTCATCCAATAAGTCTCTGGTCTTCAATATCTTTGATCCCAATAAAATCTTGATTATTAATTCACCTGGTAGTGTCAGGTTCTTATTATTTAGAGGTACTGTTTAGTTACCAAATGTTCCAAATTATAGCATATATAATTTCATATGTATAAAAATAAAAGGATTTTCCTAAAACTTCCTTTGAAATTCTATGGAAAAATAAGATCATGATTCAGATCATCAGTCAAATCAGGCTAAAGGTAGCCTTGCAGCTGCAGACCCTGAACGAACATTCCATCTCAGCCCTGATTTAACAGTACCAGTAATCCCCTGGTTAGCCACTGGGGCAAAAAGTAAGCATACAATAATGTATCAGTGTGCCAGATTTAACTGGCATCAGTTTTTTTATCTACTAACACTCCCTAATGACTATAGAGTTTTCTAAATTAAGGCACAACCTGTTAAATTCACAGACTGTTGATGGTAACAGCTGTGACCATTCACTGAGTTAGATATTTTCTCTATTCTTATAAATGAAGCCAGCCATATATTATTATGTATATTCTGATCAATACATTCCCCTGAAGATTATGGCCAGAGGGCAGTTATAGGTAGCCATCTCTTAGAAAATGGGGCTTCACCATAATATCAGAGCACTGAGAATGTAAAACAGATTTTGGTCTGATGAAAACAAAAGCTTGTAATTTTGCTTAGATTGAGATAAGCATTTCCCCCTAAGATCTGAAATTCAAATTACCTATGCTATGTATCAGTGATTTGAAGTCACTGTGTATGGCAAAGTTGTGTGCATCTGGGAAGCACATAAAAACTGCATTGTTCTTACAGTTTTAATTTTGTGTCTGAAAAATAAGTATTATCCCTGGAGCAAGGTTGGCTGGCATGAGATCTACCTTTTATTTATTTTTAATTTTTTTAGATTTCGTTTTATTTAAGTTTATGCTGGGTAATTTTTAAATGGCTTATAACTGAATATTACTTTCATTTTATTACTCATCCCTTGCATCTTCCCTTTTTTAATGGAAAAAACACCTTGAAAGATCATTTGTAAAACTGCACAGTAAACCCCAAATTTATACTTGTTTCATATTTCAGCTGATGAGACATAATTGCTTTGTGGTCTCCTTAGTTTATATGACAGATTAATTGACTTTTAAACATAATGGCTAAGATGACATTCAGTATGATCAAGTACATTAAAAAAGGGGATAGTATAACAAAATTTTTGTTTCTTTATAAAAATTCATGACTATAACATTTTTGATTGGTAGTATTGAAATTATTTTCCTTTCTGTGGCAGTGGAAGGTTAATGTTTTGAAATGATGTTTTATAAGTGAATAGCACTTCACCTTTTTAAAGTTCACTAGTTTTGTAGGTGATGTCTTAATACATACCTAAAATTTTAAATATATTACTTTATAGGAAAGATCAATTCATGTAAATCATACTAGCTTTCCTTTTATAGTAAATGCTTCATTATCAGAATGTGGCAGTAATGAAATTTTCCATGTCCAAACAGTGTCTTACTAACAAAGAGAAAGCATTTTTTATCTTAACATTTTTCTTCCAAAGGCTTTTTTTTATACATTAACATTTTAAACTTATAGCAGTAATCGATACATATAGGCAGTATAATTGACACTGACTTTCTCCTATTAGTTTTAATCTCAGCACTTCTTAAAGAAGACTGATCATTTGGCTTAGTGGGACTTTAAAAAGTTAGTTTTCATTTTCCATAATTATTAACATTAGAGTAGTTGTTTGAACTGCTAAAATTTGTTTTAAATTCTTTGGATTCTATCCATTTTCTTTACATGTGTAAAGACTATCGTTTAAACATCCTTTGAGTGACTAAGGAATAATTTATACTAATATTATCTGAATGATTTATGTTTTGCAGTGAAGGTGGTAGCTTATTATGGTGATTATGAAAGGATTTTTAAAAACTGATTTTTAAATAACAGACATGATGAGCAAGTACCTACAATGAATTGGGCTTAATAACAGTTAAACAGTGACACTACTGAAAATTTGCAGAGATCAATTTTAATACATTAATTTCAAATTTGAACTTTTAATTACACATTATATTAGAACTCATTTGTCAAACCATGAAGCTTGACCAAAATCAGGCCACTTGCCTCTAGATGGAATGCTAAACAGATTAAAAGACTTGACTCACAGTACAGCTCGCCACTATGATGAGTTCCCCTCTCTGGCCCGTGTCTCAAAACTTTTCAAAAACAAAATTATCATTAAAGAACCTCTGCAGTTGTCAGGATGTTTTGTGGCACAATAGTATGAAGTATAAACAACTTAACTTATGCCACTGCTAAACTCGTCAAGTACAGTTGAAACTATAAGGCATGTGTAGTTAAAATTGAGGAGAGGTTTTTTGGTGCCTCTTTCCAGGAGGAGGGAAGAGGAGGAAGCCCTTGCAAAGAACTGAGAAAATCTGAATTAAAGTGACATATCTTCTGCTTTTGTTTTCTTGAATAGATCGGTTTGGGCTTGGTCCAGCAGGAAGAGTTCCTGGTGCTGGGAGTGCCATGCGGACTCTGAGCACAAGCGCTGACCTCGAAGCTGCCGTTGCGGATGCTTTGGTAGGAGGCTCAGTGTTGTGTGTCTTTTTATTCCTCATCCACATTTTTCTCTGTCTTAACAGGAAGTTGCCTCCAAATCAGGTTACTAAAATCATCTTTGACATTTTTAAAAATTGTGTAACTATTGAGTAAATTAATATTATTGCTTTCTTAAACTTTGTGTGTAAGTAGAAGTTGGCCTTCAAAAAATATTAGCATCCAGTATTTCTTCTGTGCTCCTCAGTGCCAAGGAAGTTTTGATGACATTGGGCTTCTCTGATGTCATTGAGCTGCTTTTTTTTCTTCTTACCCATTTTTTCCCAGCATTTCCTTTTTTTAATTCTACCACTTCTATTACTGCTTTATAGGCTCTGATGGCATAGCCTAAACGTGTCATTAAAGTAGTAGGTAGCAGTGTTTGTGGTTTGAAAAATCTTGCATTTATTCCATTGCCTCACTAGTTCCATATGATTTTATGTTTCTTTGTTTTTGAATGAGTCCTTAAATAATTATTTAAGGAAACTCTCAAATTTTAATTAAGATGAACTCTTTGAGGGTATGTATGAATCACTGGTAGAATATGTTTGTGTCGTGATAGTGTAATATCTAAAAAAAACCTGTGAAATGGTTAGAGGTGCTTAAATTTGTTACAGCAAAAAGGTCCTTGGTAAAGTCAGCTTGTGGTCAGATTGCTCTTTAAAGGTGCAGTTCAGCTAGTAGTAACACAACATCTTGCATATTCTGGTTTATGTGCTTGGCATTTAAAGTAGATATTCTTTCAAACTGTCTAATCTCTGGCCTTGCTTGTTTTAGGATTTATTGTCTTCTAAGGAAAAAAGTATTTAATATCCTGCTTTCAGACCCTGAAGTTTTAAATCCAGTCATGTTTCATCTGATCAGAGTCCTGTGGTCTGTGGCTGCAGTGATTCTAACTTTCATCTTCCTATCTCTCCCTCACTTACTCTTAGATTTCTTTGACAAGCATCTGTGAGCAAACAGTTTGCTGTTCTTACAGTGCTTGACTGGTAAGCCAGGGCTGCCTGGCCAGTGCTGTTCATCAGCCTTATATGTAAAAGGGCTTTTTTTCCTGGCAGGTACTGGAGTTGGTAAATGCTCCAACCATGGCTTTAACTTAAGAGCCATGAGCTGGAACAGAACCCATAAAGTATTTTCCTTCCAACTTGCAGCATTTAGAATCTGTCTTTTATTTATTCAAAGACCCTAGGAAGTAGAAGTCAGGGGAGTCAGGGGGTGAAAAATGATGAATGTGCAAACCCTTAGTTAAATGGGGCTGCCAGTTGTGGTGGTGGTGGTGGAAGTTGGGGGGAGGTTCTTAGTTCCTTAAAGAACTGCATAAGGGACTGTACAAAGTCCTAGTAGACAGAAAAGGACTTACAGTGTTAGCTGTGGCATTACTTGATTTGGGCTTTTCTCTGAGCCCCAGCACCCATTCCACTCATCCTGCCCTTATTACTTTTTGTCCAAACTGCTTGTTCTCTCCGAATGACCTGCTACAGAAGATACAGTGCAGGAATGGTACCCAGTCCTTGCCTCACAGAATAGAAACCCCAGGGGCAGGCAGAATCCATCATAGATCATAGGAGTAGACAAGGGAATTAATGGTAACTTTAGAGATGTACCTAAGTGGTATGCAGAGAGTTTTAGCAAAGAATTATAGCAAGTCCTGGAATATCTTAGAAGAGCCATACAAGGGTTAGGAAATGTCATTGTGAAAGCGTCCTTTATTATTATTTGCTTGATATGAATTGCTTGCTAACCTGTATTTTTTGGTTTGCTAAGATATGTTTTCTGTACACTTTGCTGTGAGAACAATCCCTACATATGCTTCTGACATAATTCTCTATGCTTTTTCCCCATCCTTCAATATTTTCCTGCCTACAGCTGTTAGGAGACTCCAGGAGCAAGGTACTGGTGCTTTAACTTTTGTTTTATGACTTTATTTTTTCTGTTGCAAGTATATTTCTTTAGGAGCGAGTGAAAGCAACAAGAATGGTAATGTAGTATAGAAATTCTGATCTGATTATGATTTTGTTGAATCGAGTGAAGCTTTTGTTAGTGATGGAATCGAGCACCCCTCATACTTGTTGTCGTATTTACTTTGAATGTCAAGCTCCGCTCTTTCTCCTATTAGTGTTTCATTTTTATTTATTAACTCAGTTTGTCTACTTTTATGTGGTTTTTATTTCATGAGTGGATAAATTCAACATTTTTTCTCATTTAGGAATCTAGTTTATATGTAAGATGATCATATAATTTATCATCCTAACAAGGAAACTTTGGAGAATAAAAGGAGAGTGTTATTAATAATTATGCTAAGACAGTAGGCATAGGCAAAGCTGTCCTGAGCAAATTGTGATCTATATAAAAGCCATATTATTTAAAAATTACATTTGTATGGATTAGGTTAATAACTATTTTCTCTTACTTAGACGAATTGTATTTTACAAATTGTATCAGTTTTATGTAGCTGTCACTACATTGTTTAAGGGTTTAATATAACAGTTTTCTATGCAGAGCAAGAGAAATGAATGAGGCACATATAGTCTATAGGAAGCCTATTTGTGTTGTAAAATTTTAAATAAGTCTTTCATAAAAGTAGCTCAGATAATTTAAGAATCTGTACATAGGACATTGTGTCATTGACATTTCAGTTTCATACTTCTTAAAAGAAGCATGAATATTCTAACAAACGTACCCATAGACCATGCTCATGATAAATTGCATTTGATTGGAAAGGGGCTGGTGGGTATACATCTAATATACTTGCAAAGTGTCACATGCTGAGCCAGTTTCTTTAACATACCATTCCATTCAGCCCTCAGAAGCCTTTGATAAGCCTAATTATTATCACTGCAAAGCTGGGGAAGCTCAAGCAAAAAGGTTATGAAGCTTCTGAAGTCACACAGCCAGTCACTGGTGGCAGCAGGAGTGCAACCCATCTTTCTTACTGAAAACTGTACACTAGAGATGATACTCTTCCCTCTCTACTGCAATTGCTCTGCTTATTACTTACACCTACCAGAAGTCTTCACTTCTGTTATTTCCCTGAGCTGTAAACATAGGGAAGGTGTGCATGTATGTGGGTGTGGATCTTTTTACATTTTAGCTGCCAATTTTATGTGGTCTGACTCATGGTCATTTCACCTTTTCATTTCTGTCTCCATTCCTCTGATCCTTACTGGATCTGACAGAAGAAGCCTGTGAGGAGGAGATATGAGCCATATGGGATGTATTCTGATGATGATGCCAACAGTGATGCCTCGAGTGTTTGCTCTGAGCGCTCATATGGTTCCAGGAATGGTGGCATTCCCCATTACCTGCGGCAGACTGAGGATGTAGCTGAAGTTCTCAACCACTGTGCTAGTTCAAACTGGTCAGAAAGGAAAGAAGGGCTTCTGGGCTTGCAGAACTTACTGAAGAGCCAAAGAACACTGAGGTAAGGACAAGAGGCCAAGTTGTGAGCTCAGTGTGAGTCCCACAGTACAGTCATTGGGTCTCAAATGGATTCCCTGTTGTTATGAGTCCTTACAAAGTTCCAGGTGCCGCAGCAGACAATACAGGTGCCAGGATGACTGAGATGTAGTCTTTGCCTTCCAGAGACTTTGAAATATCTGGCAAATACACTATACATTTATTAGGGTTATAAACCATTTGGTTCATGTTTGTTCACATGAGTATTATTTGAGAAGTCTTGGTATAGTTTGCAGTTTAGATAAAACAACTCTGCAGGTTGGTGTATTTCATTACACTTTAGGGTCATGGATAAAATGATAGCAGTCTCAGTCTAAAATTTTTTAATAACATGCATGTACATATATATAGTTTATATGTATAGTAAAGAGATGCTAAAATGGAGTACTCCAAAAGTGTACCAGTAACATCTCTAGCATTGATTATTTTTGCTTTTTACTTTGTCTCTGTATTTCACAAATTTCCTAAATTGAGCATGTTACACATTACGAAAAAGATACGTGTTTATACCATATTTCATCAAATCTAAACCACCATTATTTTATATCCCTTTGAGAAGAAATGCTGCTTATTAAATTATGACAATACTAGTACATGTCATTGATTATAAAATGAACCTCAAAATTACAAGAGGTTAAAAATGTGGAAAAAGTGAGCAACTTTAGGATCCGTGAAATACATTATATGCTTTGGATAATTTTTAAAGAATAAATTGTGAGACTGGATAAGTTTGTGGTCACAGATGTACTCTGCAAAGCTAACCGAGTATGGACTAATGAGTAGTCACTGCTCTCAGGCTGGCTCTGCCCTGCTGTGTTCGTGCTTCCCCCGCCACATTCGTCCATTCTGTTCATGAGGTATCATGAGATGTTCTGTCGTATGCCTTCTGAAAGGCAGGTAGCCTCTGACACTTTGATCTGTGGGACAACAAAATGAGGATTTGTCATAATTATTCTTCAAGAATCTGTTTAACTCTGGTCCCATTTTCTTGACTCCTAGTGTTCACCAGGTATGCAGTGAGTAATCTAGAAATCTATTGATTAGCATTGGCCAAATCTAGGTCATATTTTAATATTTTTAAAGGATCATTGGACCAACTGTCTTATCAGTTTGAGGGGGAATTACTCACAGATGATTTGGAGAACAGGTGACACAATCAAGCCTGAAGTAAAAACGGGACTCAGAAGTACAGTTGAGGATTAAGAAAAGGCAAAGGGGTGTCATAGGAAATGAGTGCTTTGTCTCAGGCACACTGGTAGGTAGGGCACATCCTCCCCTGTAATCCCTCAGCAACCATTTGTCTCACTGATCATGGATATAAAGACATCAAGAATATTTTGTCTGCAGTAGATCTGAGATTGAAATTCAGGTCTTTCTGACCCCACAACACATGCTTTTCCTAGTTTATCCCATTGTCTTTCATCTATGGCAGGTGGGAAATAGACTTGAAATGAACAGGAATTGGCTCATGGCTTTGCCACTTCTTTTGCAGATGCGAGCTTAGGTAGTCACTCTTGAGATTGTTTCCTCATTTGAAAATGAGAGCAAAATACTATGGTTGTATATTCCTGTTTAATTCATCATTAATTTATATAAGAATTCATTTGTGGAACAATGTTTTACATATAAAAATTATACAAAGAATATGCCATTGGCTGAAAAGGATTTTTTTTAAACCTGTCATTAATTACAATGTTGACTTACTAAACTTTAATTCATTTATTTCCATTTTATTTCCACTAGTCGAGTAGAATTGAAAAGATTGTGTGAGATCTTCACCCGCATGTTTGCTGACCCTCATAGCAAGGTGAGTCTGGGAATCTGCCTACTTACATTCCTCTGCATGTTGGTGTAAGCTGTATGATATACTGCTTAGGAGTGAGAGATGGGTCCGTACTTTACAGTTTAGATCTTACAGATTTAACACCGATTTTACCAATAGTTTATGTTAATTTTTTATAAATGGAATTCTTTAGAAACTTCAAATGTCCATAAAACTTAAACAGTGTTTCAAGTAAGAGTTATCATGGATAGAATCAGATGTACTCTTTTATTAATTCAACCAGTATTTTTGGGTACCCCTATTAGCTGAACTGTGGGTTAACTGATAGATGTAATATTGTATTATAATGCCTTTTTTTTTAAGTTACAGTATTGAAGAAGATAATCAAGTATATAATTTTGTTTGTATCCCATGTAGAATTTGTCTATAGAGGATGAGACAGAAAAATGGAAGCTTTTATGTAAATAGATTTATTGAAAAACCAGGTTAAGTTACTTTAAGTAGAACTTTGCTGTGCCCAGGACCCTTGCTGGACTGTGGCCATTTAGCTGGTGCCCACACTCTCTGGGTCAAGGAAAGCCCTGAGCCTGTGGCCTGCCTCTTTGACATGAGAATCCCCGCCAAGGAGAAGACACCCATGAGTGAGAGACCAGGCCTTTTTGGGAGTGGTGCTGAGTGGGGGACCCTTTGAAGAAGTTTACTTGGAGTAAAGGTTGTTAGGTGCTTTTAGAGAAAGAAAATGGGAGGGTGAACATATCAGCAGTTAAAGGGTGGGTATAGGACAGGAACTGAAGTGTAGAAACTGATAGAGCCTGAAGTTGTCCTAAGCAGATCTTAAATTCTTGATGTGTAGGATTTAACTGTCTTATACTACATTTCCTAGTAGAAATGTCTTTCCTAAATCTTACTGGGAGGAAGAATCCTGTGATGACCAACAAAGTCCAGCCAGTTACTATGATCTCCCTTCTTTCCTATCATCCTTCCATCCTCATAGGGATTGTCTTCTAAGTGTCAAAAATGCACCCATCCATCCATCCAGTCATTCAGCATTTACTAAATACCCATTTTGGGTGAGGGATACAGTAAACATACATGTGGCTTCTGCCCTCCGAGACGCCCCTGAGGGCACAGGAGCATGAACGCAGGGGCTCTATTTTCAGGGGCAGCAGTGCTGCTCAATACCCATGTCGGAGCATGTCTTACAATTCCTCTTCTGACTTTCATAGTAAGATTGATATTAACAATAGTTATAAAATCCAAGAATGGTTGAGTTAAGGGCTACACAGATATCCAAAGATATAGTTATCAAGATTTTTCTCTAAGATAGTATCAAAAGCAGCAAAATTTAAACCATGAGATTCATAAGGGTTGGAGCATAAGGGATATTAGATGGTTTTGGACATTGATAAAATTTCTGTTACCTGTCACCTCTAGATTGCTGATTCAGAACCAGAATGTGAGGATAAAGGAGGAAATTTGTTTCCATCAGAAGGCTCTTGTACAGTGAGTTTGGAGGCCTCAGTTTAGTTAATATTTGCCCATCTGCCCTTGAGTGAAGCCAGGAATCCCACATGGACTTTTCTTCTGAGCTATCTGAAGGGAGACCCCTGGTGGTTAATAGTTGCTGTGCTAGAACTAAGTAGGTTTATAATGGCTGTGTTGTCCCTGCAGAGCAAGACTCATTAACCTAACCAAGTAGGTTATTTAGCTCTCTGAACTCAGGGATAGTGCACTGTGAACTCTGTCTCACCTTGGTGTAGAGGTAATGATTACACATGGCAGTACAAGAATTATATGAACTGTCAGTATCATTTATTCTACACAGCATGATCTTTTTGAAAGATTTTTAGGGCTTTTATAATATCTTTGTATAAGATATTACTTTATAATATCTGATTTGACATACAGCAAAATAAATGACTAAAATGAAAAGCAATACATACACAAATTATTATATTAATAGTGTTTGTTGAATGCTAAGTAATGAACAATAGTACAGAATTATGATAGTTAAAAGAGTTTTCTGTTTTTTTAAGAAAAAAAGGAAGGAAGGGTTCCAGGATTAAACTAATACTTTTCAGAAAAGTTACTTTCTCTCTCTACTGAATTTTAAAGTCAAACTGAGGGAGGGAGAGTATCTTATCAGTTTGTAGCCTTTTCGGGTCTTTTAAGAAACTGCATGACAATGGTATTAATTCACTGTGGACTAACATGGAATTTGTTTCGTTGCATGGCCTGGTTTGCTGTGGAATTCACAACAGAGAGTAAGTTCCAGTCCTTTTTCCTTTACCTGTTTTCCTTAAAATATTTGCCTTATAATGTGACCAGTTGTTAACAGTGTTTAAATTAATCTAAATTATGAGTAGGGAAAGCCAGTATGGATGTTTTTAATGTTTTGGAGACTTTGGAGAAAATTATAAATTCAATGTGTGAAATACTTGATTTTTATTTGTGTCTAGGTTTTCAGTATGTTTTTGGAGACACTTGTGGATTTTATAATAATTCATAAGGATGACTTGCAAGACTGGCTTTTTGTCCTTCTCACACAATTACTTAAGAAAATGGGAGCGGATTTACTGGGATCTGTGCAAGCAAAAGTTCAGAAGGCTCTAGATGTCACAAGGTAAATCAAGTTGTGATCATAGTATCACAACAGGGCCTAGGACATTTTTTTTCCAGCTGTGGAGATAAATAATTGACATGTCACATTGTGACTTTTGCAGTGATTTGGTACAGAAGATACATATTTCTAAATGATTATCACTGTGTCAGTTACCTTTACTTCATACAATTACCATTTTTTGTTGTGGTGAGCACATTTAAGATTTCTTCTCTTAGAGATCTCCTGTATCACTAACTATAATTACCATGCTGTACATTAAATCTGCAGAACTTATTCATGTTGTAACTGGATGTTTATACCCTTTGACCAACATCTCCTCAATTTCTCCCACCCTGACCTCAGCCTCTGGCAACTGCCATTTCACCCTGTGTTTCTATGAGTTAAGCTTTTTTTTTTTTAATTCCACATAGAAGCCAGATCATGCAGTATTTGTCTTCACTGGCTTACTTCATTTACCATAATGCCCTTAGGGATTATCTGTGTTGTCACAAATAGCAGGACTTCCTTTTTCTGACTGAATAACATTCCATTGTTTGCATCCACACTTTTTTTTAATCCATTTATCTGTCAACAGATACATTAGATTGTTCCCATGTCTTGGCTATAGTAAATAAAGCTGTAGTGAACAAGGATCAGATAGATCTTTGCGGTAGTGATTTCATTCTGTCCAGAAGTGGGATTACTGGATCATGTGGTTCTGGTTTTAAATTTGGGGGGAACTTCCATACTGTTTTCCATGTTCCATTTTATAATCCCACCAACAGGAGCATAGAGGTGCCCTTTTCTCCACATTCTCACCTGCATTTGTTATCTTATCTTTTTGATAATAGCCATTATGAATATTTACAAATATGTAATATTTATCCTTCTGAAGCCCTCAGTATTTTTAATACTTAACTTCTTAAGTAACATTAGAAATTTTTCTATCCATGTATGATGTAGCATTGCCATTCATCCAAGAACAACATCTATTGACAGTTCACTGGCTCAGCAGTACATCACACACTTAAGAGCAGTTGTAACCCATCTATCTGGCTATTAAGAGAAAAGAAAAGCTGCTGAGACTCAGAAAAGTATAAAAAACTGACAGTGTGCTGTCATTGTTTAGAAACCTCTTATTATTATTGCCTGCATAGTTATAGGTCCTTGACATACAAGTATTAGAAATTAAGTGATCTCAGGAGACACTTTGCAGTGATAGCTTTGTTGTGATTTGGTGGAAGATCAAGGGGAAAGTGTCAGATCCAGTGAATTTTTTAAAACATAAACAAATGACTCCTGGTCACTTAGAAAATTATCATCAGCTCAGTAATCAGCTGCTACAAACTGGAATATTACCAGGTATCATAGAATTTTCAAAATGGAAGGACCTCCCTTGTTTTATTTATGAGGAAACAGACATTGGCCTGACTTGTTCAGGGTCCCACTTCATGCTAGTGGTAGGGTGGTTGCTCTGTTGTCCTTTCCACTTAACCTCAGGCTGGCCTGCAGGCATGCATCTTTCTGTCCTGCAAGAGAATGTGAATGGGGTTAGCACCTTTTCTTTCCTCTCTGGCACCCTCCATTAGCAGTAGGACACAGCGTCCCCCATGCACACTTCTGTTGGATGCACTCACCCCTCACAGGTGTTTGTCCCTCTGTTTTGCAGTGCCATCGTTTTTATTTTAGTCCCTGACTCTGGAGATCTGTATGATTAGAGCCACTGTAGGATTTTTTAAATCACAATTTCCCTTTGGATTTTCAGTGAACTCAGTGTAATACACTACATTTGCAATAAGGCTTTCAAATGCCACCCCCTCCTTTGGATGATTGAATTTAATGGAATTAGAGAACATTCCTAAATACCAATATATCAATGAATTTATAAAGTTTTAGCCAGGGGTTAACTAGAGGGGTGAGGCTGATCCAGCTGATAACAACTGAGTGAAGTGCACAAGCAGGCAGGTGGCACTCTGGGGGTCTTGGTCAGTTGTGGGCATGCTGGGCTGTGGGGCCAGTGGTACTAGACTTGTCAGGAAAGGTCAGAAATGTGGATTAAAGCAACATTTGAGATTCTTTTTCCTTTTTGGTGACACTGTGAAACCCAAATAAAAGATTTTTGAGCCAGATTTGGCCTATAGGTTGCTTCCTTAAGACAGGTGAATTTCTGAATGACAAGACCTAATTCATATTTTTAGGGATATCAGGAATATTAAGATTACATCCTAAACTTTGGTGATTAAGAAAAACAGTTTTGTCCTATTAATTTTCCTGGATGTCTCTTAACTTTAACAATCCTGTTTTCAGTAGATTTGGTCTGAGTCTCTGGAACATGTTCCTCACACCCTTTTTCTCAGCCACTGAGGCATATAGCTGAGCTTATCTAGGATCAGTCGTGGTAGGTGAGAGCTGTTTCTCAGGTAGCAGACCTGCCTTCAAATCTGCCTATTTCCGTCCCTTTGGTTGTGTCTAACAACAACAGGGCACGTTACCAGGTTCAACACACCAGTTACTGAGATACAGTCTCCACTGTCCCCTTGCTGCAGATGAAAGGAGAGGCATTTTGTGTGTGGCCTGTTTACCGTGTTTCTTTAATTTATAGTCAGTATGAGTAACTTACTCATGTACCTTCACGTGTACCTAGCTTCCAGAAGTGGTCTTCATAGCTTCCTGGATATAGCTAGATGTGGGAGAAAGGATGTGCCTTTGGGTTAACTTTATTTTTTACTAGTAATTTTAATGATGGTAATACTAGTACCTACTGTGTGCCATGTACCTTACTTTGTTCGTGTATCATTTCTTTTAAGTTTCAAATCAGTCCTCTGATTTTATGGATTTGAACCTGTGTCCCTGCTTTTTTTTTTACACTCCCTCTGTAGACTCTAAGAGAGTCCAAAGAAAGCAGTGCAGTCCCTCAACATCAGTTGTAATAGATGTTTGTGTTGCCTTATCTTTCTGGATAGTGTGGAGGGCATGTCTATCTTACCCAAAGAACTGCATTATGCAATTTTAAACTAATACTAGTAATCGCAGCATTTTAAGGGAGGGAACAGTGACTCTCACTAGCCAGAATCCCTCGGCTGGGTCAAAGGTATGAGATGACTGAAAAAGGATCAATAACTGGCAAGAAACAGAGCAAGAGAGTGGCTCCTTGGGCCCCAAGCTTCTCTGTGTGTTTTGTAGCTGGATGGGGAATTTTTTCTGGTGAATACCCCAAAAGCTGTCATGGCTATACAGAATAGGGACCGTAAACAGTTACCAGACAGAACAAAAGACGGCAGTAGGGCTAGCACAAGCAAGGTCAGCAGTGAGCAGCGATCAGGATGTAGTTTTTGGTATAAGCAACATGCAGAAAGGTAACTGGGAGAAGAGGAGCAGATCCCCTAGAAGGCAGGTACAGTCTCTTCCTTAGTTTATTGCTTTGTCTTAAAGTTTTAAATAGCATACTCTTCAGTGTAGTAAGTGTTTTGGAACTTAAAATAAGACTTCCCTTTTTCTAAATTTTCTATATAATGTATATTCAGTGTTTTTATAAGATGAAAAGTACTGTTTTTAAAAAGGTGAACAGCCTTCTTTTTTACATACATTAATCTACAATGGTATATTTTTGTGTCTTGATATGGTTTCACATTATTGTTTGTAATAACTCTTTCTTTAAAAACAAGTGCTCTTTTCTTTTTTTAAACCTAGGGATTCCTTTCCATTTGATCAACAATTTAACATTTTGATGAGATTTATTGTGGATCAAACTCAAACTCCTAACCTCAAGGTTGGTAACTATCATTACAGTTGACCTTCTAAAGTCAAACTTGCTTAGAATTTACTTCTGTATATGTGACTCATATTTGCTATTATGAATAAATCTGCTGTGAGCATTCTTGTACAGCTGTTTGTAGACATGTTCTCTTGTGTCTCGGTTCAGTACCTAGGAGAGAAGTTGCTCGTTCATTGGGTAGGTATATGTTTAGCTTTATTTGAAACTGCTAAAATGGTTGTGCCATATTATATCATACCATCAGTACAATGAGAACTCCAGTTGTTCCACATTCTCACGAACATTTGGGTGTTACTACTATTTTTCACGATTCATTTTTAAGCTGGGAAATTCTGATGTTTTGAGAATAGGTGTCTTATTGGAATGTTTATCATTTTAACATTTTAACATATGAAAATAATTGTTACATGTTTTTGGAGAAGTCATACCTATACAAGACTAGATTTGAGGGAGCTTATGTGTTAATTAGATCATGTGCATCATCTGTTCTTTGATCATTAACTTCTGTAGGGGCTTTAGGATAGGCCCAATAAATGATAACCCCTTTCTCCTAAGGTCACACCCAACTGAGACATCAGAGAAGTTAGGGCAGAAAATCAGCTTGATTACTGAAAATGCTGCCTTTCGAGATACAGCCTGGAATGTCTAAAAAAAAAAAACAGGACCAACTGCAGAGCTACCCTTACCCTCCTGGTCAGGGACAGAGCTAAAAATTCCATGGCCTTTCCTTGTGGGCTTCTGCCCTGTGAGTGGCTTGAAGCATCCATGAGGGGCACAGCATGCCTTCTCAGCAGGTGCAGCAGTCTACAAACGAAAAGGATGAAGCTGCATGGCACAGTTCCTGTCCCCAGACTTACCCTCAGTCATTTCATGTTTTTTTTCCTGATGGATGCCACTCCATGTGGAAACATATATCCAGGAGAAAGGAGGTGTCCCTCAATAGAGTTTATTTTTCTGTGATCACCAGGTAAGAATTCTGGTCAGACTCTCATAACATCTACTTAATATTTACAATTATTGCATCTTCCAGGTCAAAGTTGCAATCCTGAAGTACATTGAATCTCTCGCTAGGCAGATGGATCCAACAGATTTTGTGAACTCCAGTGAGACAAGGCTTGCAGTTTCTAGAATTATAACCTGGACAACAGAACCAAAGAGTTCAGATGTGAGAAAGGTATGTATGTCCAAGAGACTATAAAGTACAGCTTTAATTAGAGACTGTTCTTAGATGTGTATTAGAAAAAAATTATTTAGAAACTTGCAAATGACCCCCCATACCTACTTGGAAACCCTTGCCACTCCTTTTCCATGAAAACCAAGACCTTACCCTTGCCCCTTATCTTTCTCCAGCTCCACCTAGTTCCAGTCTCTGAATGTCAGAATGAAAATCTGAAACCTTGTATGATGGCTTCATGGTTTTCTTATGAATCTGCTTTTACTGTGAGAGCAATAGTAGTTTAGTTTCTTTTATATGGACATTGGTTTTCCTTACATCAGTTTTGGAACATGTACTTTGAAGACAGAATTGCAGATCAAAGGCTACCTGACTGTAATGTGCCTAATAGTAACGTGGTTGAAAGTTTGCTAAGATAGAATGAATTCTTGGCTTTAAAAAGAGCAAAACCCTTCCAATTATGTACCACACTTGGAACATACTTTCTTTGATTTGGGGAGTGAAGTGGGGAGATAGAATTCAGAGTTTTGAGACACCCTGATACCATGGTGTTGTTTCGTTGCTGCTGTTTTTAATCAGCTGCAGAGAAATATTTGCTACTTTCTTCTGAAATGGGTCGTTGAGAGGCATATATAACCTGGTAAAGAACACAGGATTCTTTCTGCTATTAGGTTGTGTTTGCCTCTGGTCTGTTACACAGTTTAGTTAACATGTAACATTTAATCAACTCCTGACACATTATAAGCACACAAAGAGTGTAAGTTGTTACTATGTTTGCCAGTTCTCTGATTCTTTTCCTGTCAGTGTCATTTTGTTTCATAGGTGGCCATTGTTTGAGTTTGAGTTTCATAGGTGGCCATTGTTCTACTTTAGATATCTCTAACCAGCCTTTTAAAAGTATTTTTCACTGCTAGATTTCTCACTTCTGCTTTCAGACTAAAAGTACAATTTGGGTTATTTGTGTACAGTCTTCAACCCTGCATTTTTTCTTCTGTACTGTATACTACTTCCACAGCCATGCCTGCCAATGGTCCTTTGGTTTTGGGGAAGAGTTGATAATATGAATCACTTAGGTCCAGGCAGAGAAAGTGGGAAGGATCATTCCAAGCAACAGTTAGCAAGGTTGGTATGTTTTCAAATACAAATGAACACTTAGCTCCTTCTTTAATGGCATTCAAGGAGAACTACAGAATTATCTAAAAGGTTTCTTTGTAAGGGTCACAAAGTTGTCCAAGGTAAGCCTAGGTAAACTAAGGTAAACTTCAGTTGTCCCAAGTTGTCAAAGGAAGGAGGGCAAATCCTATTAAAGCATTCATTCAAAATTACTGTCTAGTCTTACCATTTATCAAAAGAATACTGTCAACCTTTAACCATTAAGCTAGTTTTGGGTTAGGACAATACGGTGGGAGTTGGTTAAATGATTTGGTTGGTTTGTACATCAGAAACAAGTTATTTTTGTTATTTTCAAACTCACAAGGTCAATCAATAAATACAAAAACCTTAAGTGCAGCTTTCTGTCTTTAATATAAAACATAAGTATGTGTGTGACTGTATGTGCTTTTAAATTGAATGTTATTTAAGTATTCCTTCCTGTGGGCTGAATACATTGCAAGGGCAAGAAGTTGGGAGAGACTTTCACATTACATGATTAGAGCCTATACAGAGTAACTAACTTTGCTCATAAATATCATGTATATCCACTGTCTCTGGATATACACATTAAAAATTTGAACTAGGATTTATTGTCCTAACTTTTCTAACCAGGATATTCGATAGGAACTCTTATCCTTGGAGGTATCTAGCCTTGGCTCCAAAATACTCAAACTTATTTCATACTAGCTTAAGTCAAGTATGGATAAGATATTACTTTATAGTCAGAAATCACATGGTTCTTTGATCTCCAACTCTTAATTTCACTTATTTGGGATCATGTCTATGTCACAAAACCTGCTCTCCACTGGCATTCTGCTTCTGATGCCTGCCTTCATTTCTTCCTCGTCCCCATTGTGAGGACTGCCTAATACCTCACCTTTGGACAGAGCTCAAACCTAAGTTCTGGGACATTAGTCCTTATCTTCAGAAGAATTTGAAAGCTTTACATCAGTAGGTCTCAGTCCTCAAGACAATTAAAATCAGTGTTGAGTCCTTGGCTCTACCCCAGGCAATTTGACTTAGTTGGTAGAGAGTAGAGCTTGAACATGGTATTGGTTCTGGTTGGGATACCCTCCACTGTTGGCTGGTTTTTAATGCAGAGTTGAGACCCATTATTTTAAACCATTACTCTGGAGTTGCACTTCAGGACCTAAAGGCTGCTGGTGTAGTCTTGGCCTGGTTGCCACTCATTCTCTTGGCACCCAGCCAAGACCCTCAGCACCTTCAGAGCCAGGCTTGCCTTGCTATTCCCTACTCCTTTCTCCTGTCCACCCTGTGTGTTCAGCACCTAGCCCAATGCCTGTAACTCTGGGAAGGGGGTTCCCTGCCTGGGGCAGGTTCTTTATGATGAGACCAAAAAAAGGCAAGGGCAAGAAGTTGGGAGAGACGAGGGTTACTACGTTTACTCTCACAGCAATCACAGGTGGTTCAGTACACATGGTGTACCGAGGGACGAGGAAGAAGTGAGGGCAGACGTCAGAAGCAGAATGCCAGTAGAGAGCAGGCTTTGTGTTGTAGAACTACATGATCCCAAATAAGTGAAATTAAGTATTGAAGATCAAAGAGTAAAGGAACCATGTGATATCTGACTATAAAGTAATAATGTATCCATATTTGACTTAAGCTAATATGAAATAAGTTGAGTGTTTCATATGTGGAGTATAAGAACAAAAGAAAACTGAAGAAACAAAACAGCAGCAGAAGCACAGAACCCAAGAATGGACTAACAGTTACCAAAGGGAAAGGGACTGGGGAGGACGGGTGGGAAGGGAGGGATAAGGATGGGAAAAAAGAAAGGGGGCATTATGATTAACATGTATAGTGTGAGGGGGGCACGGGGAGGGCTGTGCAATACAGAGAAGACAAGTAGTGATTTTACAGCATCTTACTGTGTTGATGGACAGTGACTGTGAATAGGTATGTGGAGGGGGACTTGGTGAGGGGGAGAGCCTAGTGAACATAATGTCCTTCATGTAATTGTAGATTAATGATACCAAAATAAAATTTAAAAAAATAAATAAGTTGAGTGTTTTGGAGTCCCAGGCTAGAAACCTCCAAGGATAAGAGTTCCTATAATATCCTGGTTAGAAACGTTAGGACAATAAATCCTAGTTCAAATTTTTAATGTGTATGTTCAGAGACAGTAGACATTATAATCAAATGCGCTCTGCAGACTGGCTACAGGTTCTGCTCTCCAGCATGAGCTTAATCCTGTAGGCAGTAGGTCTTAGTCTCTCTTTGCTCCCCACCCTTCAAGCTCCCTGGTCCCATGCTTGGGCTTAATTCTCCAGGAGCACCAGGGCTCGACGGCTCCCTCACCACTCTCCCAGCGGCCCAGCACCCTGCTCCCAGGCTCTGGGAGCAACTCTGTGGGCGGGCCCCTCGTGACTGGAAGACGCCTGACCAATTATGTACACAGGGAGAGGAGAGAATGGCTGTGTCCTCTTACCCCTCCCCTGGGCAGGTACTTCCGTGACCTAGCAGCAACTCTGTTGTGGGTAAACGTCCCATACGTGTGTAAATAGGCTCTTATTATATACACAGTGGGTGCTGTTAAGGCAAGGTGGGAATCCTGGACAGGAAGTGTCATTTTCCCCACAATACCTGTAGAAACAAAATAGGCAGTTAATAAATATTTTGAAAGAATTAATGAATGATAAATGCCCAAAGAGAAATCCAATTTCAAGTAACACTTTGAAGCCATCATTTTCAAAACCATAGTCTTGGAAGTTCTCCTCTTCTGGCTTCTGTGTTTTCTGTTGCAAAACAAATTACCACAGACTCTGTAGCTTGAAACTACACAGATATATTACCTTACAGTTGCTGTGGTTCAGGAGTCTGGCACACTGGGTCCTCACCTCTAAAGTAAGATGTTGTCTGGGTCTTTGATCTCATTGGATGCGTCGGCTCTTCTTCCAGCCCACTGGCCCTTGCCTGTTTACTTGCCGACTGTCAATAGGGTGTGTTCTCAGCATAGAGGTTCCCTGCCATCCCCTCTCAGTAGATGGCAATTTGCTTCTTCAAAACCAGAAGAATGTGTGAGGAAAAAATGTCTAAAATCTTACCAAATTTGATAGAAAACATTAATCCTACATATCTGTGAAGCTCAACAAACAAGTAGGATTAAGAATAGCCACATCTAGACACACCATAATCAAACTATGAATGACAAAGACAAAGAGAATCCTGAAGGCAGCAAGAGGGAAGCATATCCAAGAGCTCCTCAGCAAGACAAACAGCTGCTTCTCATCAGCAACCATGGAGGTTGGAGGCAGCATGATGACAGTCAGAGGAGAGAGAGAAAAATCTGTCCATCAGGAGCTTTCTGTTCCACAACACTATTCAAAAGCGAAAGTAGTGAAAGTGAAATGAAGTCAGCACCTCTAACCTCTCTTAAGGGCTCACTCAGGTCAGACCCACCCAAGATAACCTCCCCATTGATTAGCAAAGAGTCAGCTGATTCCAGAGGGGCTTGAATTGCATCTGCTAAATCCCGTCTGTAACAGTTACAGGGGTGGTGTTCCATCATATCCAAATCTCATTCTAGGGGAGAGGATTATACTGAGCTCATGTGCCAGGAGGTGGGATGCTTGGGGGCCATCTTCGAGTTCTGCCTACCAAGGTTTTGGTCTCAGTAGACTGGCAGGAATCTTCCATAGTTATTTGGTTAATTCCTTAGCATTTACTTAAAATAGGGAGCTTTTAAACCGAACCATTCAAATTGCCATGAAATTCAACTTAGTAGATGCAGCATTGCATTCTGGGTACCCTCTAGATTTTTTTTTTTTTATCGTCCAAGATGTCTGTAGCTCTATTTGGCTTTCAGTTAGTTGTACATACCCAACACTGACTAATAAAGCATTGTTACTTGATTCAAATAGGTGTTTTAAAGCATAATATTCAAATATGTGTTCTTCTGCCCCATAACTACTTGCCCCATAACTACTCACCCACAAAGTATATGTTAGGTTACTGCAGAGTGATCTTTCTTGGAGCTAGATTCCCTTGGATTTAAATACTTGTTTGACGTACCATCCATTGGACATTGTATCAATATAGATGCTATATTGTAAGTGGTACAGCTGCATTACCCAAGAATTTGAGATGTCTTTGAAAGATTGTCCAAATGAATATAATGCCTAAATAAATTAAAATATTTAGAAATTGTGATGTGGTTATGTATCACTCTGCTCTAAGATGTAAAATGTCATTTTAAAGCTGTAAAAAAAAAAACGGGATTTTTTTATCTCTTTTTTTTTTAATCTGGAAAATTTAATGCACTGAAGATACCCTTTCCTGGCTCTTTTAAATAAACATGTTTTGCCTTCTCTTCCATTTGCAGAGTTAATACAATGTTTTATCAGGGAAATATGGTGATTCCAGAGCAGTTGGTGGTCATGAGCCAAGTTCTCTTGTTCTCAATTTCTTAAGAGTGAGGCTAGGTTATTTTTCTAAATACTAGAAGAACCCTTCAGTCTGAAATCTATGCAGTAAACCCTCATATTGACCCCATCCCTGGAGAATGTTAATTTTATGCAAGCCATACTTAGGGAATTGAAAACAATGTAACTCATTTACCGTATCTATAAGATGGTACTTGGGAAAACACTTCAGAAACATTTAAAGCTGGTAGAGCTGGATTTGTTTACTTCAAGCATTTTTAATAATTATTTCCCTTTTTTACCTCAGTGTTTTGGGGCATTGCATATTGGAGGGAGATGGGTGTTTGAAGATAGAAGATGTTTTGAAAAGGAGGGAAGAAGCACAACCAAACCCAGAGCACAGGAGAGTCACCAGGGATGTGTGCTCACAGGCTGTGACTGCTTTGGATGAGGATGAAAAGCCCCACCAGACTAACTGGTCTGCCTTTTTCCAAGAGCAACCTTTTTCATTTTCTAAGCGTGGGAGTCCTGACCAATTTTTTGATCAAACTGTTCAGAAGTACAGTAGACCTTCCTTAATTTACTGCATCTGTGTTAAGATAATAATAGTAATTAACAGTATAAAGTGGATTCTAGAGTTTGACCTCCATTTGACTTTTGCCTCTGCCATTTGTCAGTGGTGTGAGCAAGTAACCTAACTTTAGAATTCTTGTTTATCATCCATAAAGTGGGAATCATAATAATTCCTGCCTCAGGCATTATTGGGGGGACTAACTGCAATAAAATTTATCAGAACATAGGTAAATATTTCATTTGCTGTTGTAGCTCCTGCTATTACTGTTTGAGGGTTGTTTTGGTTTTGCGGCTGCTGTGTGTGGAACAAATTGAAAACTTAATTTTTTTCAGCATTTAGGAACATTTTTTTCCCATCAAACAAAGGGAGTGTGGTAATGACAGTAGAATTTTTAATGGTATGTTTATATTTTATAATTCAGAATCCCTGTATGTTTGCTTCTCATATGTAGTTCTCTGTTAGCACCTACTTTGTCAGATAAAATAACAGATTTAGCCTCCAAATGTTGTTTTCAGAAATGTGGGAAATGAAGGCATGGCAGAGACACCTGGAAAGTATAAAGACACTGTTGCCTGGAGCAGGAAAAGTATAAAAGTAGCTTTCAAAAGTTAAAATTTCTAATTGAAAAAATTTTAAATCCCTGATTATAGATAGCAGCATGGCCTAATTTAAAAGCTGAGAAGGTTACTATCAAATAGGGTTTGAATCACAGCTTCACTCTTCCTGCTACTTTCTGGTCTCATTTTGACACCTTAGATCTTCCATTTCATCTTGAAAAGCAGGACAACTAACCCTGCCTGAAGGGCTCATGATCGTGAGGTTCAGAACTGGCAGTTACTGTTACTCTTAGCTTTTGTATTATGTATACCTATATGATTGTATAAAAGCATCCAAATCCTTTTATAGCATATAATAACCCTGATGTAAGCACTTGCTCCTCTCTGATTAAATCCTACCACCTTTCCTGTCCATCAGTCCCCGCTTCAGCGTAGTCGAGTAGGTGAGGATTTCCCCACCAGGTCAACTTCAACCTGCTCTGGGCCTGGAGAAGGAAACTTGGAAGAAAATTGTAAACAGGTAGACTTAAAACTGTGCACTAATTTGAAAAAGGGCACTTCACTGTTTGCATTTTTAATGATTAATACTGATTACCCTTGTGAAGACATAGAATATTTTGAAGAAACTTAAAATTAATATAATGCTATCTGAGAATATATATAAATAAAATATAATGCTAATATAATAACACACAATACATATATGTGTGTGTGTGCCTGTGTATATGTCTGTACTTGGTATGTTTTATGATTAACTACCTTCCCAAAGAAATAGTCATGCTGAATGCAGACCTCTAGTGTATTTTAATATAAAATACGAAAGATACTAAAAAAGGTATACTTTAATATATAAAATAAAGACGTGTTAGGTAGTAAGAAATGTATGAAGGTTTTGAAATCCCTTATCTTTGGTAATTTTCTAGAGCACTTTTAATGATGGTCTGAAAGCTGCAGTAGTAGTAGTAGTGTAATAAATTAAAATACTCCTTCTCCTCCCAAATTTTAAGTCTTCCTAATCAATACCAGCCCTGAAGCATCTGTCAAAACTTTGTTGATTTCCTGTCTTGAAGAATTCCTCTTGCTGGAAGGTGCAACAGCATTTGAGGCAGTTGATAGCCCTGCGAGGTCCTTTCAAACAGCAGCAGAGAGAGTTAAAGAGTCTTTACCCTCACTCCCCAAAATTCTACTGAAGGAACATGAGTGGGGAATCATTTCCTTTTACGTTGTCATTTGATCTTTGAATTACCCTAGAGCTGTCCATCAGAAAGAGTCAGCAGTGCTCTCAAGTTTTTCTGTCTGGCTGCATGATGGCCCCACCTCTTGTGGAAGGCAGGAGTTCAGAGATGGGACAGGGCAGTGACATACTCCACTTTTTGGATACATTATTGAACACAAGCTATGCCCTAGGCTTTTTAAAATGAATCCCTCCCACCCATGCCCGTATTTGGAAACACTCCGCTAATGGGAGCATGTTGATGGTAATGATAAAAAAAAAAAAAAAACAAGTTTTCTCCCTTGCTTGGATTCTAGTATTCTGACTTCTTACTAATGCGCAGGGTTGGATAAAATATTTTTGACTGTAACAGTCTAATTCCTTTTAAAACTTGCATATAAAATCTTTTTAAAGTAATTATTTAAGTGATACTTTCTATCCATTTCATTAGAAGAAGATTTGACTTTGAAAACAGCTTTAAGCCAAAGGGTGACTTTTGAAAACTGTATGGAAACATTTACATTATATATTTTGAAAACTAAAAATAAGTTATCTTCATTTATGTGTGTAAATCACACACATGCCATCTCTTTACTGGGTCAGAAGTTAAAGTCTACTGCACTTTCTTTCCTACATGACTAAAAGTCACTTGTGTTGTGTAGCCATGAATTAGCATAGTTTCTAGGCCTGGCATATCTCAGCCCTCCTGTTGCTAGTAGCATGTGGCACTAATTTTCTTACATACTTCATGAAGAACCTCAAGTTCACTTTGTGCTTAACGTGTTATATATCATGTCACTCTTGGAAGAAATGTGATCTTCTAAGTAAAGACAGTGACATATTTCACATAAAAGTATACTTTTCAAAAATGTAATGAATGATACATTTTATAATTTTCAAATGCCATTTCAGTCAACAGCAAAATAAGTGCCTAAACTTCATTATTGATGACATTGATTCTTCTTCCCTGTTAAAGCTCAGGTCTGCTTCCTTCTTTCTCTTTGAAGTGCAGTTTTCCTGCATGCATTTCTTTCTAACATCTAATAAAATGTTTTTTTAAATGCACAGGTTACTCTGCATGATTTTTGGAATTTCCTGTTATACAAATACACAAATCATGTTAATAGCATATTAAACTGGTGGTGAAGTAATTTTCTTCTTCTGATGGTTTATTAAAAATGTTTCCATAAGGAAATGTGATAAACTTCATTTTAGTAAATAATTTTTTCTGCCTGGGTCATGAAAGCGCACTGGCCCCTTACGATTTAATTTGGGTGGGAAGACTACTATTGGCTATGTATTTGGAGGTCAACAGGAAAAATGTTTGATATTTTTGCCCAGTTCAGTGTTTAATGAATGCTTTTGACATGTTGAAAACATAATTTTTGATCCTGTAAGAAATATCCCACTGATAATTCTGAAGTTCGTAATTAATTTTTATTTTTGGTTAAATATATTTGGGTCTTTGGATTATATTTTCTTCCTCAGGCACAAATAGTAGTTTTGTCTTAACTGGACCTAGAATTAATTCTAACACTGTAAAAGTGTTTAAGTACTCTGAGTGTTTATTTCCAAAGAATTTCTCAGCAAGTACATTTTTTGTAATATTGACATCATGGAAAAATATTCAGAGTAATTACTGTAATTCTAAAAATTACTGTCTGGAAAAATTAATATGCTTTGCTTTTAGTCAAAAGACTTACATAATGTGTTTTCTTTTGACTCCAAGAAATTTATAAGAAATGCTGGTATTTACTAAGATTTCCTTTTGACATAGTTTTCCTAAATCAAAACCTTGCTAACTAATTCCTTGAGCGCTGGTTTTTAAGCTTGGATTGCCTGCTACTGTATTAGTACCATAAAAAGTACATACCTTGCTGGAGAAATCTCTCTTTTGGCTACCGTTGCTTCAGCTAATTGTTTTTCCCCACCTAGCTGCTACAGTAATTATAAGCAGTCCTATAGCATGTTCTCTCGATTGATAAAGAAAAGTAGGGCATTTCCCAAAAGACAGAAGAGGAAGTTTTTAATTTGTACCAATTAAGTCTGGTTCACTTCCCAAAGACTCTCTCCTCAGTCCATAGGTATAAAGTAGGCATTTTTCAGATATATTTTAACTACTTTTGCCAGTGTTTTCTGTCACTAGGAGTGGAGCCTAGGAAGAATGGTTTCTCAGGATAGCTCAATGTAGCTTGTTCAGAAACTTGATCTTCTAGGGTGCACTAGGTCATTCTGACTTACTGGAGTGAACAGTATTCAGCCTTTCAAGATATTTTTGATTGTTTCATTTACGTATTTACTAGCTTTGTTTCTAGTGCTAGATAACAAAGAGTTTCTGAGACTTTATTATTAATGTGCTGTGGAAATCCAAGGCGAGGGAGTTAAAGTGAAACCAGGGCTTACTTTCCAGATTGTAGTCAGACTATTTGCTGATAATTGGTGATATTTTCCCCAGATGCTTTTTGTTTTTGTGTTTTATGGCAAAGATGCTCTTTTTCTTTGTTTTACTCATACAAAATGTTTTTGTTTTAAACAATTTTAATGAATATTTTACCAAGATGTGCTATTGTACATTCCATAAATAAATCACATCATCTTTTTCTAGGCAGCACAAATTGTGCTAATCTCTCTGTTTGAATTGAACACTCCTGAATTTACCATGTTACTTGGTGCCTTACCAAAAACATTCCAGGATGGTGCCACCAAACTCCTGCATAGCCACCTCAAGAATTCCAGTAACACCAGTGTGGTGAGTGCTTCGGTCATGATTAGGGCCTCTGTACACTCTCTGTGTATCCCTTGTTTAGAACTTGCTCTAATCAAATAGCCAGCTTTCTTGTTCTCTTTTTGTAGATGGTGGGTGTCTTGAGGGTGGGGGCCAGTCTGATCCTGCTGTAGTCCCAATGAATGCATTAACCTGATATTTAACTTTGCTTGAGTCAGGTTATTCAGTCAGTTAAATTTGACTAGGTCATTTGGTCAGTCAGTCATTCATTGCTTTATTTTTGTCATATGGTAAAGCTGTAAATGCCCAACTGTGTCTGTTACTCTAGTATAGCTGCCATCAGCCATTCAGCTTTGGGAATGCTTATATTAGTTACCCATCTTTGGTTTACAAGCACTTAAAACTGGACTTAGGATTCTAAAAAAAACCCACCTAGACTGTGCAGATTTTGCCCCTTTATTTACTATGGGCTAAAAGGCCAAGGGAGTAGCAGAACTATGGTCTATATTTAGCTCTTGAATGAGGATGCTTATTCTACCTTCACCCCAGGGCTCTCCAAGCAATACAATTGGCCGGACTCCCTCCCGACACACCAGCAGCAGGACCAGCCCCCTGACCTCACCCACCAACTGTTCCCATGGGGGCCTGTCTCCAAGGTAATGCCATTTCAGCAGAAGTGGAAAACTAAAGCACTCAGTGTCTGGCCTATTTATAGATTTTTAGACCCCGCTTAACACCAGGAAGTGTATGGGTGCCAGGAGACCATAGCTTCTAGTCCTCACCCAAATCCTAATTGTGTGATCTTAGAGCAGCGAACTTCTACAGAGGAGTGAGTGCTTTGTTGTGAATGTTCTCTGGGATTCTCGCTTTTAGAATTCTCTAGTACCTTAAAGATTTTAAAACTAAAAGTTGCATTTACTAATATTTTACACAGAAACCATTTAGAAATTCATCACCTACTCTGAAAGTGATAACGTGAAGTTATTTGTCCTCTAAGTAAATCCTTGATAATTCACACATAGTCTAGAGTAGTCTTCCAACCAAGAGGCCATTCTCAGTATAGTTACTGTCATTAGAGCATCTTTAAAGCAGAATGCTGGCTGCTCTGAAGAAAGATTAAGAGCCTGAGGACAAAAATGGGATCATTATTTTCAGACTCTTGTTGGGACCATGCAACTCTGACCTTATAAAGTCTGAGGCAGCAACTTAAAAAGAGAAAACGCTTTGTCTTTGAGTTCTAGATAAACTGTCTCCATCTGGCCAAAGCCTTTAGAAGTCTCTGCCTGGTGGCTTTAGTGACCCCTCTGACAATGTGTTGGAGTCCCCCAAGGCCTCACTCAAAGTAACGGCGGCCCTTTGGCCAGACTTTTTAGGACAGAACCAGTGCCTGGACCAGGAAGGATCACACATGCTGTGTTTTTCGGCAGTCAGTCCAGGTCTTTGGAATCACGGACAACAAGAATTAGGCAGCTGTGTGTTAAGGGTTGCTGACAAAGATCTTAAGAAACAAAATACTGCAAGTATATGCCTTCCCTTTAAGGGTTACCTCTTTAGTAAGAAGATATCAGAACAGTGCCTTTAAATTTAGATTTTTAAATGACCAAGAGTCTCCCCAACTCCTCTGTCCTGACCACTGAAGTTCTCTTCAGTTCCTCAGGTCATTATAGAAATATTTTGGAACATAACAAGTTTGTATTTTCTGTTGGTGAAACAAAGTATTTTGAATACTTACAGTATCCTACTGTTTATATTGCCTTATTTTCTAATCCTTATAAGGCCCCTGATAGTATATTTAGGTAGAATGAAGTACAGTGTTATGTCTCCAAATTTGGTGTGTGTTGTCATGATTTTAGCAGGCTACTTAACATTAGACAGTTGAGGCCAGAAACTAATGAAATATGTCTGACTTTCCCCCAGGTGTGACTGAGGCTCAGCCAACTATTTTTTTAATGTTAACATTTAGATCTAAAATATATGGTTTGTCCTAAATGACCGGGGTCCATTGTTGACAGTAACATCGTGGACTTTTTGTTCTTGGTGGGGGAGGGTTTTATGGAAGACTGTATTCTCTGTAAATTATTGCTTTTGTCTAAAAGTGACACTTCTGCAACATTAATTGGGAAATCTGTTCTTCTGTAATACACAGTTCATACTTGTATCCTTTAATTATTTCATTATTAGGGTGGCACATTATTTAGGTAATAAATATTTAGGTAAGACTAAGATTATTTTATTATAATATGTGCTAGTAGTCTAAGCGGAAGATTGGTGGGGGCTGCTAGCATAATCCATCAGAGCTAAGAATTGGCTAGGTATCAGTATTCATAGATCCCCAAATTATTAAAAAGTTCAATTAATTTTTCCAGGTCACCATTCATTCTTAATTGGCCTGATCTTAATTTTTACTGTTAGGTTTATAGTTCAGTGGAAGAAATTAAAAGTTTTATTTTCAATATTCAAAAGTCCAAGTATGGCCTAATACTTTCTTGTCAGCAAATTGTTCTTTAGGGAGTTACTTAGTTAGGCAGTGAATAACTAGCCAGATAGCCATAGCCAGTTTGAACTCAGGAGAAAGCATTTTTCTTACAACTGAAATTATCCAGTAGGAAGAACTGCCTCATGTCATCATATCACTAGAAATATTCAGATAGGCTGCATACCTTCTACCAGGAAATTATAAAAGAAACTAACTCTTGCACTAAATAGGAGAATAGACTAGGTCACCCCGTCCTAAGGCAGCAGTAAAACAAGTCCTACCACCTAGAGCCTCAGCCATGTTTCTGAACAGTGCTCTTGAAACATGTTTTTTGTTTCTTGCCATTGTTTTAAGTCACCTTGGCCATATGTTGAAGTTTTTTATTCTTAAGGGGGAGACTTATTGCCAATTATTTGTTTTTAATACATTTTTTCGTATCAAAATGAACTAGTCTAGTATTTTTTTAGTCCAGAAATTCTCTACTTGGATTATGGTGATAAAAAGGAAATAGTATAAAATGATGAACAAATCTAGTTTGTTAGTGTTTTTTAAAAATCACTAGTGAGGGAAGTCATTTCTGCCAATCCAGCAGTATCTGAGAAGCCAAAGCTAACAGGTTGAGCTTCTGTGAAACATCACGTTAGTCATTGTATCTGTGTGTGAGAGAGGGCGGTCACTGCTTACTCCCAGCTAGTGAACATGTACTGCTGGGTGTTTGGACAGGAGGTTTATGACCTAGAGTTTTTCCTCATTAAACACATATTTATAGTTTAGTTCCTTTTGTCAGTGTGATTTGTGTTAAATGAAGAACAGAGTTGTAAGGGGCTTCACAAATCACAGGAAGTCCATTCCCCAGTCTGCTGTACATTCTTGGCAAGCATGTTGTAGAGCAGAATGGCAGTAAATATGTAAACGCTGTTACCTCTGACAATAAAAGGTAATTTTAGGTGGATTTTACATTCATTCCATCAGAGGATCAAGAGGGTGCATAGAATCAAAGTGGGGCTTAAGTGGGGGAACCCAGACTCCCCCCAGGGAGCAGGTGGTGTGTCTGCTTTCTCCTCTGCCTGTTAGCAGAGCTCCAACCCCGACTCAGTGTATGTCTTAGAGAAGGTCTTTAGGCCCTTCTATACTGCAGTAACCTATCATCTCCACATTTTTGTTCCTTAAACAATGGGGCTGTAACTGTCCAAAGGTAGAGACTGGCTCCCTGCCTGCTGTTCTTGGAACCCAAGCAAGGCTGTTGGCAGCCAGTGCTGCCTGGAGGAACACTGTCTCTGATACCACTGACCCCGTCTTGTGGCCTCCTGCCCCATTTCCAGCCAGCTCAGCTTGCCCCTTCCCAATCTCTGGTTCTTCTGAATCACAGCAGTTATTAAGACTCTGTGTCACTTAATGCTGTGTGAGGAGAAGACCTGTGTTCTCAGATGATCTGTAGTTTTCCTGTGTGCTGATGTGAGGAGAGGACTTAGATTTTACTTCCCCTCTCTGATCCGCCAGCTGAGGCTTAGCACCTGTGCTCCCTGAGGGAGATTGCTTTAGTGACCTCTGGACTCCATCAGATTGGATCCCGGCCTCCTTTAGTCAGAATGGCACTTTCTCTGGGTCTTCCTGCCATAGTCCCTTTGGTCCCATTTGAATTAACAACCCTAATCCCTTCTTTGGTTCTTTATAAAATAATGATTGCATTACTTGACACCAAACATCCATATTTTTGTGACATGCACGCATGCATTTGGAATCTCATGTGACTCAGAAACGTAAATACGTGATTGAGCAGGGAAGGAAGGTTGCAGTCCTATTGAAGACCAAATTGTAAATAAAAGTCTGTTCTTTTTCTCTGTATGAAGAAGTATCAATTTTGCTATAACTTTGTCATGGAAGAGGACTCTGTGGCACTCCGAATGTAATAGTGTACTCTCCCCTGCCTCCTCCCCTCCCCTTTGCCTTTTTTTGTTTGTTTCTCTTTCTGATTTTCCTCTTCTGATCACTACAGTCGGTTGTGGGGCTGGAGTGCTGATGGGTTATCGAAGCACCCCCCTCCCTTTTCTCAGCCTAACTCCATCCCCATCGCTCCCTCCCACAAGATTCTCAGGCGCTCTTCCTCTCCCAGGTAACAAGCTACCTGTTAACTTGTCTGAGGTGTCACAATATTATTGCAGTTCCAAGATCGTCTCAGGTCTTTAGGGAAGCTTCTCAGCTGCTTCCGTGGGGCCTTGGCTTTGACTTAGACCAGCAGGAGAAGAGCCATGGTTAGAAGTCTGAGCGGGTTTGTGAGTGTTGAACCTCACAACCACGGCTCCTACCATGTCACAAGAACAGGTGACCATTTCATCAACTGCCCAAATCCATCAACATCTCCTGTTGTGAGGCTCTTGGCCTAGGGAAGTGCTCAGCCCCCTCAAGTAGCTCAGGTGCTATGAAATCAAGGCCAGTGATGGTGGGCATGGTTTCCTTAGCCTTCTTCTTAGATGTACAAGGCATTCCCACTAAGAAGCAGATGAGATCTGTGCTTTCCCAAACTGCCCCTTTAGCTCACAGTCCAGCTATTGATTACACAGATTGCTTTCTTGCATAATGTACTGTCACATACATGGTGGTAGTCTGAAGCCAGAGATCCAGAAAGGAAGCCTTAGAAGCCCATTCACTGTTGCATCTCAGTAAAGGTTCTCTGCCTCACAAGCCCCTGGTTGAGTCTCGAAGAAGGGGTGGGGCTTTCTTCAGATGTTAAGACATGCTAAGTCTCTGGTACAGAGTACAGTCCAGGTATTTCTGCAGGTATGTGCTTGAGGGTCTCAGGTGCTTTTTATAAAGGTCCAAAAATAAGAGAATCTCCTCCCTAGAAGCCTATAGTTACATGGCTGAGCATGGGGCAGTCCAGTTGTCCTTGTGCTGTGTAAGGTGAGTTTGTACACTCTGTGATAGGACAAGGGTTGAAACAAAGCAAAATCTATTGCTTTTGAGTGCTTCATAGTTAGCTTTTACACAGATTCACATTCCTACTTTTGTATCCTCAACATTGGGAAACTGTACATAGTAAACAAGTCAGCTAAATGTTTTAACATCTTTCTTTTGAAACTCTTACTACTCTAAAAGTAACTTCTAAAGTCTACAGAGAGTCATATAATGACTTCCTAGATAGACAAAGTTAGGACAGGGGCACACCAACAGTGGGATGGCTGCTTTCATCTGTGTTAAGAAAGCATGCCACTACAACTTTGTTTTCTATCTTTTTTTACAGTTATTCAGGCCTCAAAGTATGAGACCAGTTTATTGACTATCTCCCAATCTACTGACCTGTATGCCCTGATGGGCCCTAAGCTTCACCTCCAGCCAGTGTTCCCATCCAGCCACTGAAACTTCCCTCCAGAGGACATCACATACCTAGAATCATCTTTCTTACATGTGCAATAATATAGCTAATGCTTAATATCCCTATGACTTCTGTTAGCCATCAAAGGGAGAGAGAGTTGACTAGAGAATTCTACGTCTAGAGAACCTATCAGTTATGCAAAACTAAGAGGAAAGCTTTGTCTCTTTGCTCTTTGCCAAACCCTAATGATTTCATAACAGGGAATACTCCATACCTAGTATCTTTTCCCTTCAAAATGACAGAAGAAAATCTCAGAGGCCAAACTTCCTGTCTCCAGTTTTTCTTTTCTTGAAGACCTGACCTCATGCACCTCCATACCTATTATACAGATCCTTCACCACAGGGCAAGTCCAGAGCTTTATTCTGCTTCAGTATTGGGTGACACAGCTTGACCTTAGGTCACTGAATATTGACCACTTGAGCAACTCTTCATAAGCTAAAGAATCCTAAGGAAACCTTTCTGGGGTCTAATCAGTGTTTACAGATGACCAGGGCCTGGCCTTTGACCTACAGGATTATGTCTGTGAGCTCCAAGAAGATGGAGTCTAGGGGGTGGTTGACAGACCACAGTCTGCCTGACCCACTGTCTTCTGAGTAAGACTGCTGTGCCCTCTGGCTGCTGCTTCCTTTGCTGGGACCATGGGCTCTAGGGTTCCCTGATAACAGCAGTCATGGGAATTTCTTTTTTTCTTACGAAATGGGGTATTGATTTGAAAAAATATGTCAAAACATGAAATAGCAAAGAAGGTAGCATTATCTATTTCCTGTTACAAGGAAACATTGCTGTCCCTTACCTGGAGCTCACAGTTTTAGCTTCATACCAAGGAGATACTTACAGCCTTAAGCTACTGAGTGTAAAAGAAATGTCACTGCAGATCATACATGATTATGTACATGTGCCCCTAAATTTCGAAGTCCGAGTTGGTTTAACTGACGGTAAGACAAAGGAACATTAACTGGCAGAATCCTTTATTTTCTTATTTTAAGAAGAGGCTATTATAATGCTAAAGTTACATGAACTGAAATGAGATATTTTAAGAAAGTTCAGATTAAGAAGAATGAGATGAATTATGTGAAAGCTAACATTATTTGACATGACATGGAAAATAATATTGTGACATCCCTTAAAAAGCTGAACGTTCCGCCAGACTTCCTCCTGTCCATCCTACCATTCTTTGTCGTCATTTTTTTTCCTTTTGCATGGGCTATGCTATTGTTTTTGGTTGTTGTGATTAAAAATATTTTAAGGCATCTTTTTACATCTTGCATACATACTTTTTATTTGAGTCATACCCAGTTCTTTATGTATAAAAAATAGTGTACTGGCCAGATGTATAAACGCCTTTGTTCCCACAGTATTGGTATTGTGGTATCCTGGAAGGGAGGAGGGCAGGGAACCCCTGTGCTTTCTTCACACTAAAGGGATATTGCCTCAGGTTCTGATGACCTTATGAACTTAGAAGTGGTTGAAGTCTTGAATTCTGTTCAAGTTTTTTATTCCACCTCCTGTTAGTATAGACATGGAATTTCAGCTATAAACAAGTTCAAATTCACATTTCTGTTTGTTTGATGCCAGAGCCAGTCTTTGAGTTGGCATATATTTTTGTGAACTCTCCAAGTACTCTTGGGGTGTGGATTTTCTCTCATTCATCAGAAAAGAAGAATGGGTTCTCTCTGGGCCAGTTAAAAGTTTAGGCGAACAGCTTACATCTCTTAAGAGTGAGGTCAAATCTTGTACTTTAGGGAACCTATCCAGCCCTGGAACACTTGGCTCATTACACCCTCAAGCCAGTAGAGGTCTGGCTACTCTGAGAAAGAAATGTCCAAATCATGTCTTGCTTATCTGCCCAAACCTTTAAGAAAAGGAGGAGGGCTTAGTAAATTTATTTGTTTTTAAGTTAAGGGAACTTACCTCTTGTAAGAATGTACAGGGTTGATTGCGTTGCCCTTGGGAAAGGTTCTTGCCAGTGGGTGCCTACTTTCTGTTACTTCTCTTTTGAAGAAGAGCAAGTTTTCTTTAGTCCTTCATAATATTATATACAGCCAAGGATTCTTAGTGTGTCCCCAGCAATTCTCAGCATAGCTCAAGACTTTCTGTAAGTTAAATTAGATTAACTTCATCTGATCTTTTCTTGAATACTTTTCCTGAAACAAATGACATTCAAGCTAAGTCACAGTTTTTGGACTTGCCAAAAACTTTAATCAAAGGGTTAAAGATTTCTTCATGTTCTGTCCCCTTTATCCTGGCGTATCCCTCCCTCCATCCCATGCTTTTCTTTGATATGCTTAGTGAGGGACAGTGGTAGGTTTTGGTCTTAGGATCTTTTCTCTGTTTCAGTTCACTTTTCAGACATCTAAAGGCCACTTGCTGACACTGCATCACACCGAAAGACTAATTAGGATTTTTGCTTCATTTCATGTTTTGCTGTGCTAAATATCAAAAAGGACAAGTAGTTCTTGCTTTTTGAAGTGCTTTTAGATACCTGTCTAGGATTGTGACTCATTTAAGATCTGCTTTTATTATAGAACTCCCAAGTAGAAGCATCTAGAAGAGTTGATACAGCAAGCTCCTCAGTTAGATGGCATGAGACACTTGGGGCCCCACCGATGGGATGGATCTGGCTTAACGTACTTTTTAACATAGGGTTTTATTGTACCAGTACCCAATACTGGTAGATGTAACCCAGTCTTGTGAGGTCATTTGCTTTGCTCTTCTGAAACTTGTAATACTCACTTTATTTTGAAGCACCCATTCTTCTTACTCTGTACATTTGAGACCAGTAAAAACCGAACTCCTTTTTCCATCTTCAAGATACAAAAGTCACTTTTCACTTCCATCACCTTGTGCATTGTCACCAGTTCTCACTCTCTTTTGAGTTCTTGCATTCTTGTGGTTATTGTCAAGTGCCAATGTAATGTGTTTGGGACCAGATTTGACAAGGAAGATGTGTGATTTCTAATATTGCTCTAACAAAAGATGTCACCTTTTCATTTCAAATCACCTTAAGAAATAAAACTATGTATCTTATTCCATAAATTTTTAGAAATAATTTATGTGCATACCTCAGTTTTATGCATATGCCTCAATTTAAGACAAAATATTTTTGATCTTTAGCATGCTGGACTATGATACAGAAAACCTGAATTCTGAAGAAATCTATAGTTCTTTGCGTGGAGTTACAGAAGCCATTGAAAAATTTAGTTTTCGAAGCCAAGAGGATCTGAATGAACCAATTAAACGAGATGGCAAAAAGGACTGTGATATTGTGAGTACCCCTGGGCTAATAGGACTGTACTTCACCCAAGCAGTGCTTACTACCTCAGCTAACAGAGGGCTGTATAGAAAGTGGTAATTCTGAACTCTTGTACATTGTGAGTACTGAGCTTCATCATTATTATCTCGTAATTACAATATATTATTTAAAGAGGTCCAAAGCAGTTTTATAAAATTTTGAGTACCATCAGCTATTCCTGTGAAGAATATTAAATACTTTTTGTTCTCTGTTTGCTTTCATTTATCCTGGACATATTTTTGTTCCTGTGATGTGATAAAAAATAGTGAGTCTGAGCCAGATAGCCATGTGGCTCTCTGGGAGCTCTCGTCTTGTGCAGAGGTAGGCAGGTGGGACAGAAACTGTGGTGCAGTGAAGTGGTCGAGCCTCAGCACAAGGAGACCTGCTGGGCTAGTCTCTGGTGATCAGGGAAGATCTGCAGAAGTGGTGGTTTCTCCCTCTGAGTGGAAGCATGAGGGTCTGGAGGAGTTTGCCAGGTCAGGTGTGAGGGGGTCTTGTGAGAAGGCAGAGAGTAGGAGTGGGCACGGTCTGACATCCCACAGGGGTGGCTGATGTGGAGAGAGTGGCTCTGTCGTGTTGGAGAGGCTTAGAGAAGAGGCTGTAGAGGCTGCGCCAGGAAGGTCGCTCCCACCAGTGGATTTCAACCAGCATCTTCACTTTGAAGAGTCTGTGAAGGATTTTTAACTGGGGAAGTGTCTTGGTCACACATTTTAGGAAGATTGCTGTCGCTGAGATGGAGAATGATTCTGGAGGAAGTTGGGCTGGGTAGGGCACGAGCAGAAATGGAAGAGTCAGAGACATCTGACTAGGACAGTTAAGTAGGTTCTGGGACAATTCAGTGAGATAATGCAGAAGGAGAAAAAAGCACATGTTAACCCCTTTGGAAAAAAAATTCAGTTTTGGCTAAATGGGACTTAAAGGACCTGGGGAATAGCCAAGCAGACATATCCATTTGGCCTTTGGCTATACCAGTCTGGAGTTTAGGCTGGCAGTTTGGGCAGGAGATAGAGATTTGAGAGGCGTCGACTAGTTTCCTAAACGAAAAGTGAGTAAAATCAACCAGGTAAACAATAAGGACAAAATTCTAAGGAGCGTCAACACTGAAGGAAAGACAGAAGAAAAGGACTCAGAAGAAAAGCTAAAGGTGGTGGGAGGGAGACCGGGCTAGTGTGACATCATAGAAGCCAAGGGAGTGTTCAGGAAAGACATTCTAGCCAAAGGCATCTCAAGTCAGATGTGGAGTGACAAGGAGTCACTGGGTTTCTCTTTTTACTTTCTGCATTAAATATTCTATTTTAACCTAACATGTAGAAAACATGTATTCATCAGTGTTTTAATGTAGAGTCAAAACCTTTCCTTGGAGAATGGGCCCATCTTCTTCTTAAGTAGATTTTACACATGGTCAGTCTTATGATTTATTCTCTTTCAGGGGGCATTGGATTTTGTGAGCACAGTTTAGAGCAGAGCAGAGAGTGGAAATGAGATTACAATGGGCTGAGGAGTGACTCGAGTAAGGCTGGGAGGGATGAGGCCCAGTTGGACTTTTCATCCTGGAGGACATGACCCGTTGGAATGCTGGTGGGGCCAGTTGAGAGAAACATTGACTCAGCAGTGGGAGATTGGTGGACTTGTGTCACTGGGACATGGCAGAGGGAGGAGATTTGGGCACTGGTGGAAGGATAGGCCTTTGGCAGGAAGGAGGTAAGCAGGTTTTGTTTGTGGCAGGAAGAAGAAGTTGTCCACTGACAGCTCCCTCTTTCTGGGGGCAGCAGAAAGAAGCCAAACTTTGAAGCCTGAGGCGAGGAGAGTGTAAAAGGTTTACACACACCTGTGGAGTGGGGTGGAGGGGTTGCTAATGAGGCAGACAGAAGTCCTGCCAAGAACAGTGAAGACCCTACCTAGAGAAGGCAGGTGCCTGAAGTATTACTTTCCTTCATTAGAAAAGTGATACCTAGCCAGCATGTGAGATTCAAAAAAATACAAAAGAGAAAAAAGAAAGAAAAATCACCATCTCTAGAGCTAACCACCCTTAACATTTTAGTGTTTACTTTCTACTTTATGTGTATTCATACACAAATATGTTTAGGGGTGAATATAGAGTGTTTTAAGTGAAACTTAAAAAGTAGACCCAGTTTGATAAATCCTTAAGGATAGTGTCAGATCCAGTGAGAAGATGGTCCACAAGAGCAAGAGGCGAAAAATTACCTGTGGGAGAAAGTCCATTCTTACAAAGTAATTACAGAAATACAACTAACATATGTTAGGTTTCATTTACTTCTAAATGGTTTCAAGTAGAAATTACAACATTTAATGTTAGAAAGGATATAAAGAGCTAGTCTAATATTGGTGGCACAGGAAATTGATACAGTTGTTTTGGAACTCGCTACAATTTTATTTAGCAAAAGGGATTTTAGATATCATATCCTTAATCCAATAATCTAACTTTTGGCAATCTATGCTAAACCTATGCTCAGGAAAGAAAAGAAAAGATATTATTAACACAAAGAAGTTTGTATCAGCATTATGTCTAATAGAAAAAAACAAACATTTTAAAGATGTAGAAAGGAAATAGTTGAGTAAATCTCTAGTAGAAATAGTGGTGTGACTAAGCATTATGGTTACAAAACCTTTTTTAACAAAGGTGGGACCTGCTTATGCTGTGAGGAAAGCAAAGCACAAGACAGTATGCACACTGATCCCTGCTCTGTAAAATCCACATGCCAGCAGACTGGGATAACACCAAGTGTAAAAAGTAGGGGGTGTTTTTGTTAAAAATGATCATAATTAGGATAGCTTATTATACATTTTTAACACATTTTCTCCTTTTATAAATTTTTTTGTTATATGTTTTACTTTTAAAAGGGAGTTGCAAAGAGAAAAGAAAAATCATCTGTGAATCATCTCCCACCAAGGAAAAAACCTGTCAAGTTTTATTTTGTTCGTAATTATGCACGTACTGTACATTCTTTTACATCTTAGCAATCATATTAGTATTATAACTTTTTGGGGGCTGTTGAAAGCCAAATTCATCCCAGCAATTCTTCTAGGTATGTATCAAAAGATAAGAAAGGGACTTAAAAGATACTTGTACACCAGTGTTCATAGCATTATTTGCTATGACCAAAAGGTAGAAGCAACCCAAGTGTCCATCAGCAGATAAATGGATAAACAAAATGTGATACAAACATGCAATGGGGAAAAAGGAATGTAATACTGACATATGATACGTGCATCAGCCTTGAAAATAGTATGCCAGGTGAAATAAGCCAGCATAGAAAGACACATACTACATGATTCTACTTAGATGAAGCACCTAGAGTAGTCAAGTTCATAGAGTCAGAAAGCAGAATAAAGGTTACCAAGACTTGGGGTAGGGAGTTACTATGTATTGGGTACAGAGTTCTGCTTGGGGAAGATTAAAAAGTTTTACCCAACATATAGCATAGTGGTAATGGTTGCATAACATTGAGGATGTATTTAATGTCACTGAATTATACACTTACAAATTAAAATATCTAAAATAATATGTATTTATTTATTAAAAGAAAATAGTACAGCAGCACAAGTAAAAAATTTGCCATAGGAATCACCAGTGCAGTCTGGCTGCCTGGAGGTGTTTCCATCATTGTTATGTAGTCAAATATCGAGATGAGGAGAAGGACCATTTCTGCTCTGTTCCCAGCTATCAGCCTCCACTTGCTCTATTATAGTGCTGCCCTGCACAGGGAGCCAGGCGGGCCTGTGGGTCTTGGAGGAAAGGACCCCTGAGAATGAAGGGACTCAGAAACATGACACAGAGGCAGGAGTTTAATTTGCTGAAGACAGGACTCAGATATATTAGGAAAAAATTTCACAGGGAATATTAAAAGACCTACTCTTTGACTCATATGATGAATTCTTGAGAATCAGAAATATCCAGAGGAAGTATGATCTGCCTAGGGGACACAAGTTCTCCATTGTTAGAAATTATTAAGCATTTGTTTGGCTCACCACTTAGTGGACTATATACAAGGAATTCACAGATGGTTGGACCACTGTAGATTTTGTGATGGTAATTGAGGGAACATCTGTCTCTTGGTGTGTCACGGCATCAGCAAGAAAAACCTTCCTGGTTGTAATGAAAGTGATAGGCTGCAAAAATGGGAGTGTGAGGTGTACAGCCTCCATTTTCAAGGGATTCTCTTCAGAATTTCATGTTATTAATCTCTCAAAAAATGAGCAAAATTAATCATCAAATACAGAGTAAGACTTTACATGTAAATTAACAAACAAATGAAAGCATAAGCATATTATTCAGTTCCCAATTTATGGGAACTGATTTTTGATTTAGATATTTACAAATTGAATTACTGTTAACTCTCCTTTTGTCAGTGGCTTAATTTCAAGTGAGAAATCTCTGGTTCTCCTAATATTTCTGAAAATTTAAAGGAGAGGAAAAGTTGGTTAAAAGTCCTAAAATGGAGTGACAGTGTGGTTTGCTCCAGGTGTCCCGTGATGGTGGAGTTGCCTCCCCTGCCACTGAGGGCCGAGGTGGCAGCGATGTGGTGGAAGGAGGCAGAATGGCTCTGGACAACAAGACCTCCCTCCTCAACACGCAGCCTCTGCGTGCCTTCCCAGGGCCACGGGTACGAGACTACAACCCATATCCCTACTCAGACACCATCAACACCTATGACAAGACTGCCCTGAAGGAGGCTGTGTTTGACGATGACATGGAGCAGCTTCGAGATGGTTTGTGTTTCTTTCCTTGATTGCTCCCTATCCAGAAGTGCTTTCTGTGGGCTTTCTCTCTTGTCAGAGAGCCCTGGGCCTACTGGTCAGACTTGAGTGGGATCACTGGGTCTGTTTTGAGTAGTTACTTGTTCAACAACCACTTGCTGAGCACTTGCTGTCTGCTTAGGCATGAAAGGCACAACAGTGAACGAAGGTATGCACAGGCCCTGCCCTCTAGAAGCTTGTAGTCTGCTCACAGAGGCAATCTAAAATAAGCACTTACACATGCAACATAAATTGCATTTGTGGCAACTGCAGTGGAGGAGGGCTGACCACACCCATGGGGGAAGGCTTCACCGAAGAGCCAGGGCCTGCATGGACATCAGAGGGGCCAGGGAGTAGGAGTTCATGAGCTGGGGTGAGGGCGTGATGGGAATGATGGGGGGAGGTTGCCTGGGGACTGAAGAGCAGGGCAGCCTTGCTGAGCACCCTTAGGAGCCCCTGCCTAGTGTGTCCTCAGGAAGTGACTTCTCTCTTGCGTGTCTCACAAGTGCCCATTGACCATTCTGACTTGGTGGCTGATCTTCTGAAAGAGCTGTCCAACCACAATGAGCGGGTAGAGGAACGGAAAGGCGCCCTGCTGGAGCTGCTCAAGATCACACGGGAAGACAGCCTAGGCGTCTGGGAGGAGCACTTCAAGACCATTCTGCTCTTGCTGTTGGAGACACTCGGAGACAAAGACGTGAGGAGCCTTCTTGGTCCTGACATTCCCCTTTCCCTGTGACAGATTGTTAAGTCCTTTTCTCATTCGGTTTGGCCTCAGCTTTACTTTGTGTATTGTGCTTATTGTTTGCATTAAAACATTCTTCAAATATTTTCTGAGCACCAGTTAGTAATGTAATGTTTTTATGAGAGTCAGAGCCCCCTCTAGCTCTGATACAGTTGTTCTGTGATTGCGTTTGTGATAGTTGAGGTAAACATGATCTCACAGCGGGTTACTTTAACACAGTATTTCTTAAGACTTCATTAGCACAGAGTGGTTTTTTTATGATAAGCTTCGTCCATGTGAGTTTTATTTATGCTTCATGTGTAATTGAGAAATAGAGAAGTTAATTTTTTTTAAAGGCCCTGCTACATGCGGCATTCCATGAACTTGTCTTGGGTCACCCCTACGTGTGTCAACAGTTCCAATAAGCTTGATTGGTCAAGAGGCAGGCTCCAGAAATATGGGCTCTTATTTCCATTATATCTTTTGTTATTGTTTTAAAATAGAAAACCCTCTTCACACTGTGATTTTTGAATGCAAAAACTAGGCATTTGTGCCATATGCCTGGTCTGTAGTCCACACGTGACACCTAGTAGATAACTCTCAAGGAGGGAATAACCTAGTCAAAAGTTCTGCCTTCTCCCTCTATGTAGCTAGTCCCTTACATGGAGACAGGAATATGTGTTGGGAATTGCCTAAATTAAACTCTAGAAGTCCATTTCTCCGCACTGGGTTTTGTGTAGGCTGGCAGAAACAAAAATAAAGGAAGTGTGGTGAAGAGCTTGAGGCAGGGCAGGACTGAACAGGTTTCAAGGAAGTCTGACACAGCCTCTAGTAAATAAAGGTCTTGCCCAGGGTCACGCTGATGGTGACTTTAATGGGAGACAGGTAAACAGAAGGCCTATGAATGTCATGGCGACTCCAGTTGCTTTCTGATGTTTAAGATTAATGGTTTGGTGTAGGGGTGAATGAAGTTGGAAGAATGGTGATAAAAAAATACCTGTATTAACTTATAAACCTCAGCTGCTGAAACACTTGTGCTTGGTTGGTCTTTGTCAGGCGATAAAATGATGTCATGTAGAGGGCAGGATATGTAGTGTAGTGTGAATTGTACAGGTGAGTGAGGAAGAATCAGGATGTACTCTGGATCTGTTTGGTGTAAACTCCATTCTCTTTCATTGAGATTAGGAGTCTGTTTGGAATGGCTTTCCTCCAGACACATGACTTGGGCCTCAAACACCTCAAGGGCCATACAGATCCTCTCCTCCATGATCTCATCAGGCAGAAGGTCAGGAATGATAGGTCTCCGGCTGTCCTTAGAGAGTCCATGGTCTTGTATTGATGAAATGTTCATATCCTTTTTACCTGTCCTTTTGTACATTTTACTAAAGGGTATTATGCATAGCTAAGCTGCAGGCAGTCTAGAAATCCCCAGGAAATTGGTAATGAACTTAAATGTATCATCCTCATTCGGCTCATTCAGGAAGCCTTCCTCAGGTCCTCTTAGGTGGCAGGGGCCTGGGAATGTTAGTCTCCCTGGACCTGCTGACTGGTACTGAAGTGCTGTGTATTGTTTCTGATGTCTTCCTTTCCTCTTACACTCTAGCATTCCATCCGAGCACTGGCACTGAGAGTTTTACGAGAAATTCTGAGAAACCAGCCAGCAAGATTTAAAAACTATGCTGAACTGACGATCATGAAGACTCTGGAAGCCCACAAAGACTCCCATAAGGAGGTGAGCCAGGCCTGTGGCCCAACGGTGCTGAGCATGCAGGTCTGAGGGTGCAGTCAAGATGCCACGTAGAAAGGAGTGTGAATCAAATACAGCTTAAGAAAAGGAGTCCCTTCCTTTGAACTCAGCCCAAGCCATCATACAGGGAGACAATCCCATTGCAGCCCAGCAGCTGAGCAGCAGTGTAGTGCAGGGACCAATGCCACTTGCTAGGTTCCTGACTGCCTTTCTGTGTGTGCAGGGGGCTTGACCTGTCTCTGACGGATTTAGCCATGTCTGTGGCTCTGGCTGCCTTGGTAGAAAGGGAGGGGTCTGCCACTTAACTCCTGGCATTCAGCATCTGTCAGGCTACTATAGCTCAAGATTGGCTTTGGAGACACAGATGAGCAAGTCCTAGAAGCAACACTTCCATGCTCCAGAGTCATGGACAAGTTGCTCCACCTTCTGAGCCTCAGTCTCCTTGTGGATAAAATAGAGATGGATATTATCACAACGTTTGTGTGAATTAAATGAGACAGCCAGTGAGGGTTCATGCCCAGTTCTTGGAGTTAGTAGGGCCACTCTGTGTCGATCTCTCTCCTTCACCTTCCCCTTTCAGTCTATGCCTCTGTGAGATAAAGACAGATGGAGGCAGCCATGCCACACCTCTTCCAGGAGCTTCTGAGCATTTAAAGTGCTAGCAGACTGTGTCTGTGTCTCCTGCACCTTAGATGCCTCTTGAAGAGGGGGAGGAGTGTGTCTGTATCACACACACATTGGACATTGGGCGTTCAGTAAATCCTTGGCCAGTTGCTTATTGAACTGTTCCAGCGCCTGTAGCTCATTTGTCCTTTGAGTGTCTAGAGGCCAGTAGGGAGTGGGAAAGTGGATGGAGCTGTCCTAAATAAAAATGATTCCAGTAACACCCTTCCAATAAAAGGTGCATAGAAAGCATATTGTTTTCTACAACAGTGGAAAACAATATGACAGATAGTGGGTGTGACGTCAGAGTAAGACATGATCACACACTCAGTTCATTCTCTCAGCTCACATGGGACTCTTGTGAGCATACTCATGGATTAAGGGAATTGTGGTCAGAGCAATTCTTAGGTCTGCAAAAAGAATCGGACTCTAAATGAGAGTTTTTCTCTTTTCTGCAGTTATGCTGCAAGGGTTGGGGTCTTGTGCTCTGTGTAGGCATCTTTCCACCAAATAATCCTAGCACAATGCAGGTACATAAGTGATGGGTGTGTTTTCAGACCAGTAACTTAATTCTTCTGAAACCTGGCTTGGTTGCATGATGGGGATAATCACTCATGTTTGAACAAAGACCTTTACATTTAAAGTGTACAAACCTTTAAAGTGAACAAAGCACTAACTCATTTAAAAAATGTGAGGGCCAGATGAGCTAATATAGTTAACGTAATTATTCCTGAGGAAGGAGAGTCCAAGAGGTACAGTAATTTACCAGGTGGTACACAGCAGGTACTGGTAAAGCCAAGAGGTGAGCCAGGTTGTTTAAGTGCCAATTGGCCCATGCTAACTTTTTTTTTTTAACCATAATAACTTCTCCTTAATGAGAATACATGGTCAAAAACAAAATAAAATTGATATTTTTTTTTTACATATAATGTCAGTCTTTTTAGAATGTGGCATTAAGGTGACACTAAGCCATCAAAAGTTGGTAGCATTTACTGTCTCCTTGGAAAACATCTGTATTTAAAGTGGGTGACAGTGGTCCCTAAGAATTACAGGTTAACAGAATTAAATAATCCACTAGCTGTTTACTGTTTTCTTGAAGGATCTTAGTTGTTTTTCTTTTCCCTGCAAAATGAGAATTTTAGGAGAGAAAGTTCTTAGGTATGAAGTTCTTTAACTATGAAACAAAGCAGAAAATATCTGCTGCTTAAGGTAAAACTAGCCACACTCATTGCCATGGGGTTCCTGTAACCCAGGAGTCCCTGTGCTGCTGTCACCGATTGCCTGCCTAGCGCAGCAGGTGGAGGAGCACCATGCTCCAAGAGGGGAGTGCCTTATCAGCAGCCACCCCCTGCTTTGCCTGCCTTTCAGACTCACCTTGACTCGGTGCCCTTGTGGTTTCCTTTGTGAGACTTCATTCTGTCACTTTGCCAGAAGCTTTTACCTTGGGTATCGGTATATCGAGGTTTTAGGTTTGGTTTTTGTTTTTCTTTCTCTTTTTCTTTAAAATTCTTCTGGTCTTCCTCTAATTTTAACCAGCTGCCTCTATCCCTTGTTTTTGCTTTTAGGGCAGAATAGTCAGATGTGCACAAAGTTTGTGTTGTAGCCATCTTGTTGGCATATAATATTGCAAATGGTATTTCTCTAGTCATTACATTTCCTCATCATTACATTTAAATCCTTTCGTTGGGAAGGATCCAGTGTGTTTCTAGACCCACTTACTGTATTAATCATACAGAAGCAGATTCTATTTTCTTGTCTAATTAGTGCTTCCAAAGTGTTCACCCCAGACGAACCCCCCTGGAGCTTCCTTCTCAGAGGCAGCTCATGGGGTTTGTATTCACAGTCGGAACCCAGGCTTCCCGGCAGGTGGGCCCAGGGCTGCTCTGAGAGGCCTTGGCACCAGAGGGACCCTCACCATCATGGTGACGGCCATGCCTTGTGCATGCTAGGCCTCTGGCTGTGGAGCTGTTGCAGTGAAGGGCAACTTCTTGAAGTGCAATTTCTATAAATAGAAATTTGTCCTCAAAACTTGAGGGAAAATGAATGAGTTAGGGCCAATGATAAGATGGCTTGTTTTATCATTCTGTAAGCCAGGGTCTGTTTTCTCAGGCTCTCTTAACAGAAGCTGTGCATGCAAAACTCTTTTCTTACACATTGAAAATGTACCAGGCACTAAATCTGTCTCAGGCATCATCCATCCTGAGCCAGCATAGATGCTCTACTATGAGCAAGATAGAAGACTTGGATACCAGTTTAGAGTTTTTATTTATAAAGTTGGTATTTGTTAACGTGACCATGTACTTTCATATTCCCTATTTGATAAGTGAATCTCTTTGATTAAGTAACTCCATGTTTTTATCTTTTTAGCAAATAAAATTCGCTATCACGTTTAATGCCTCAATAATGAAGTTGCTCTGGTTTACAGTAGTGTTAGCTTTTAGCAAGCAGTTAAGGGCTAAGGCCTTGACAGTGATCTTTTAAAATCTTAAGTCTGTTCTGCTTTTCAAGAAGATTCCACTAATGTTAACTCTGCTCGTCTTAGAATTTGTAATCTGTATTTTAGGACTGGTTCAGAATTGCACCTTCATTGATGAAGAGAGGATTTAATGAGAGAATTGATCCTCTGAATACAATTCTGGGCTTTGTGGGGGGTGTGTCTGAGACAAAGCCTGCTTTTTGTCCCGGGCTGCTCTCATCTGTGTCCTCTGCTCCCACTGCCTCCCTAGGGCCCTGTGCAAGCCCGACTCTTTTGTGAATCAGAGACAAAATGATGTGGAAGTACACTTACAAAACTGTCATGTGCTGTACAAATAACATTACGTAAAAGTCCTCTCAAACATCCTTACCTGTTTCAGAAGTGCCCATTTCTGGGTAAACAGTTGATGGTACTGTTAATTATTTTATACACAATGAATTCAAGAATAGCTGTTGTTCCCAACAGCTGTTGTTCCCATTGTATCTTGTATATAGTACCAAAAATATTTGAAGTACTGGGTAATGTTCCATTTAAATTGAAGGAAGCACCAGCTCTGTTTCTTGAGGATACTCTATAAATGAAACTGTTCAGTCATTGAGCTTAGCTTTTTTAAAATTTGACCACATTAGTGAATATTAATTATTTTTGCCTACTAAAAGAGAAAAATGTCAGCATAATTTTATGTCAGTATACTAGATCACCAAGCATTTCTTGCCATGCACAAAAGTCTTGATGTTGAAGACATCTCAATCCAGCCTCAGGTGGTTTGGCTAATTGGGGAAGTTTGATTCTTAGATAAATATAAAACAACCATTGTTATGTGTCCAGGGGTTTTATTTTTAAATCATTTCTAGTTAATTTTATATTTTATGACACCAAGGAATTAAAAAAGCAAAGCCAGATCAAAATTATTTTAAAAATAAAAAGAGAACTTTTGGAGGACTAGTACTCTGTCTTCTGCTCCACTCGACTGCTGTGATGTGTCTTACATGGCCTTTTTGGCACACATCACGGCCAGAGAAAAGCAGTTGGTGTATCAGAGAGAAGACATTTTAAGCAAGTTGATGTTCTGCTTCCAATAGCAATCACTATCTTAACTTCTCAACCAGACCCCCTTCACTCTGGAATGACCCTTTAGAAGTCTCTCAGGGCAACAACCATGTGTCACTTGGTTCTGGAAAACAATGCATTATGTGAACCTGGAGAAATTACTTCACCTTCCAGACCTTGGTTTTTCTTATCTGTTAACCCAGGGAGTGGACTGGATGACTATTATCCTATAAGCCTCAAGATAATAGAAGTTGCTATTGAGTAACAATCCTAAATCTTCATAGATTCTAAATCTCCAGTTTTCCATGGGTCCATTCTTGGGATGTGTCCAAAAGCCCTATTTCTTTGGTAAGTTTTTCTTTTTAACAAAAAGACAAAACCAGAAACCTATATGATCATTTAAAGAGTCATAGATGCCAAGCCAACAGTCTGACACTTGTAGCACAAAGTCTGATAAATGTCTTCTTATTGGAAGCAGGGGACAGAGGGTGCTCCTTAAAGCTTATGGTTTAGTTGAAGTTAAAGCAAAGGAATCAACATGTGGTTCAGAGGGAATGAATCAGGAGTTTCCAGTAGGTGAGAATCATCAAGCGAGAGTGCCTGAAGCAGTTAGAACCCGATACTGCCTGAGAAGTAGTAGTTCGGGAGAGAATTCCAACAGTGAGCAGGCAGCAGGGCCCAGGGGGAGGAGCGTGGGCTTTAGCAAACAGGCCCGGGTGGAATCCACTGAACCAGGATCACTGTCATGTTCCCTCTGTTCGGAAGGGACATTCTTCCCACCTCAAGTGTTCAGTTC